TTGAAAATCAGCACATTTCAGTAAAACAATCTGCATGCAAAAATGTCTATGGCTTAACTTCTTCCATGTAGTTATTTTATCCATGAAAAAGTCAGGAAATTTATTATTGCAAATGCTGATTACTGTTTGCTAGCAATTCATTGTGTGTATCTTGACCACAGAAATCTAAGGTTGGATCAAAATTAGATCTATAGTCTTTCACTGATAAAAATATCTGAATATTATCTGAACAGTCATAAGTAAGAATTTTATTACCATCAAGTATTCCATAACATCAGCTATTTTAGAGGTCACTTAAATGCTCCCAGATTTTAAACTCAAAGACTTCATAAAAAGGTAAGGGGGTATAATAGTCTGTTCGGATTCTGCAGCTAAAGTTCACAGTCACCATTGACACCAAGGCAAAACTTTACTCAGTAAAAGCATGCTAAACACAAATGAAGCTAGCTTGTTTAAAAAAAAATTATTCTGGTCAAAGTTAAATAAAAAAATATTTGATCTTTTAGCAATTAACTTCACAGAACAGCCATTCCATTATCTTGCTATGTGAAAGAACAGAAAAGGTCCAAACTATTGAAAAACTATGATAGGAAGTCAAACCCACCTCAGGTTATCAGTGAAGTGCTGGTGCTACATCACCTTTTTTATCCTCTAGCATTAGTTTAATAGGTACTTATTATAATGCACTGAGTTTAAATTCTTTCTTTTGCATTCCCCCCAATGCCTACTGTGACATTCTTTGGTAAGCAACAAAGAGCTTGCTCCAAAAGAAACTCAGTTTTGAACAGTGCAAGTGTTAAAAATTATTGCCACTTTCTGTCTTTAGTTATAATCATAGAACTACAGATCACAGAACAGCCCAGGTTGGAAGGCACCTCCATAGACCATCTGATCCAACCTTTCATGGGAAAGGGAGACTAGAAGATTACTCAGCATCCTGCTCCATCCTGAAAATCTCCTGTGATGGGGACGCTACCACATCCCTGGGGATGTTGTTTCAGTGATAGTGTTCTTCTCACCATAAAAATGTTTCTCTATGTCAACCTTTCCTGGTGCAACTTTTCAGGGACGGGAACCTCAATCCATCCCACCTCTACCAGTTTGATGCCAGTGCCAGCAGTAGGAGCCCAGAGCCTGGAGAGGGGCCACATGTCAGCAGAAGAGCACCTGAGCAGCACAAAGGAGTTCCAGCCAGTAAGTCAGCTTCATCGGGGGCCCAACTTAAATGGCTCTGTGCAAAAGTGTATAGCATGGGGAATAAGCAAGAGGAGCTAGAGATGTGAACGTCTGCAGGACTACAATTTTACTGGCATCATGGAGATGTGGTGGGATGACTCCTATGGCTGGAGTTTTGGAATGGAAGGATACAGGCTCTTTGGGAGGGACAGGCAGGGGAGAGGAGGAGAGGGTGTTGCCTTCTGTGTTGATGACCAGCTGGAGTGCAGGGAGCTCTGCCCTGGGATGGATGAGGAGCTGACTGAGAGCTTATGGGTCGGGATTAAAGGGAGGGCAGGGACAGGAGACGTTATAGTGGGGGTTTGCTACAGGCCATCCAACCAGAAAGATGAAATGGATGAGGCCCTCTATAGACAGACGGGAGCAGCCTCACGTTCACAAGCCCTGGTCCTCATGGTCCTTCAACTACCCTGTGATATCTGCAGGACGGACAACACAGCAGGGCATAAGCTAACCAGGAGGTTCCTGGAATGCATTGATGGTAACTTCTTTCACCAAGTGATAGAGGAGCCAAGGAGGAGAGGTGCTATGCTGGACCTTGTTCTCACCAAGGTGGGGCTGGTGGGGAGTGTGAGGCCCAAGGGCAGCCTTGGCTGCAGTAACCATGAACTGGTGGAGTTCAATATCCTTAGGGCAGAGAGGAGGGCGCACAAAAATCTCACTGCCCTTGACTTCAGGAGAGCACACTCTGCCCTCTTTAGGGATCTGCTTGGCAAAGTAGCATGGGATAAAGCCCTGGCAGGAAGAGGGGGCCAAGGAAGCTGGCTAATACTCAAGAATCACCTTCTCCTAGCTCAGGAGTGATGCATCCAACAAAGAGGCAATCAGGTAAGAACACCAGGAAGCCTGCATGGATGAACAAGATCTCCTGGACAAGCTCAATCACGAAAAGGAAGCTGACAGAGGGTGGGAGTAAGGACAGATAGCCTGGGAGGAATACAGAGAAACTGTATGAGCAGCCAGGGATCAGGTTAGGAATGCCAAACTCCTGACAGAATGAAATCTGGCCAGGAACCTCAAGGGCAACAAGAAAAACTTCTGTAGGTATGTTGGTGATAGAAAGAATAGGGAAAATGTGCCCCCCCGCTGGAAGGAAACAGGAGACCTAGTTGCCCTGGATATGGAGAAGGCTGAGCTACACGACAATTTTTTTGCCTCAGTCTTCACTGGCAAAGGCTCCAGCCACACTGCACAAGATGCAGAAGGCAAAGGCGGGGACTAGGAGAATGAAGAACTGCGCACTGGAGGAGAAGATCGGGTTTAAGACCACCTAAGGAACCTGAAGGTGCACAAGTCCATAGGACCTGATGAGATGCATCAGTGGGTCCTGAGTGAACTTGTGGACGAAGTGACTGAGCCACTATCCATCTTATTTGGGAAGTTATGGCAGTCCAGTAAAGCTCCCGCTGACTGGAAAGGATAAAACATAACTCCTGCTTTTAAAAAGGGAAAAAAGGAAGACACGGGAGACTACAGACCACTCAGTCTCACCTCTGTGCCTGGCAAGATCAGGGAGCAGATACTCCTGGAAACTATGCTAGGGCACATGGGAAATAGGGAGGTGATTGGTGACAGCCATCATGGCTTCACTAAGGGCAAATCATGCCTGACAAATTTGGTGGCCTTCTACAACAGGGTTACAGCATTGGTGGGTAAGGGAAGAGCAACTGATGTCATTTACCCGGACTTGTGCAATGCATTTGGCGGTAACACAACATCCTTGTCTCTAAATTGGAAAGACATGGATTTGCCAGATGGACCACTCAATAGATAAGAAATTGGCTCAATGGTTGCAATGAAAAGAGTTGCTGTCAACTGCTCGATGTCCAAGCAGAGAGCAGTGACAAGTGGTGTTCCTCAGGGGTCAGTGTTGGGACCACAGATGTTTACCATCCTTGTTGGTGACATGGGCAGTGGGACTGAGTGCACCCTCAGCAAGTTTGCTGACAACACCCAGCTGAGTGGTGTGGTCAAGACACTGGAGGGAAGGGATGCCATCCAGAGGCACCCTGACAGGCTTGAGAGGTGGGACCACGCAAACCTCATGAAGTTCAAACAAGGCCAAGTGCAAGGTCCTGCACAGGGATCGGGGCAATCCCAAGCACAAATACAGGCCGGGCGAGGAGTGGGTTGAGAACAGCCCTGCGGAGAAGGACTTGGGGGTGTTAGTGGATGGAAAATGGACTCTGAGCCAGCAATGTGCCCTTGCAGTCCAGAAAGCCAACTGTATCCTGGGCTGCATCAAGAGAAGTGTGGCCAGCGGGTCAAGGGAGGGGATTCTTCCCCTTCTACTCTGCTCTCATGAGACCTAACCTGGAGTGCTGTGTCCAGCTCTGGGGGCCTCAACATAAGAAGGATGTGGACCTGTTGTAGCAGGTCAAGAGGAGGCCACAAATATGATCACTTCCCTCATGAGGACAGGCTGAGAGAGTTGGGGTTGTTCAGCCTAGAGAAGAGAAGGTTCCAGGGAGACCTTATAGCAGCCTTCCAGTACTTACAGGGGACCTACAGGAAAGATGGGAAGGGACACTTTGTCAGGGAGTATAGTCATAGGATGAGAGGTAACAGTTTAAAACTGAAAGATGGTATATTTAGATGAGATATAGGGAAGAAATTCTTTACAGTGAGGGCAGTGAGACACTATAAGTAGTTGCCTGAAGCAGCTGTGGCTGCCCCTCCCTGGAAGGGTTCAAGGCCAGGCTGGACAGGGCTTTGAGCAACCTGGTCTGGTGGAAGGTGTTCCTGCCCATGGCAGGGGACTTAGACCTAGATAATCTTTAATGTCACTTTCAACCCAAACCATTCTATGATTCTAACATTTACCTACTGCCCCTTCTCTTCTTGTGGCTCTTTGTGAAGAGTGAGCCTCTGCCCTATTTGTATATGCCTTTTAAGAACTGGAAATCTGTGTTAAGGTCCCCCCAAGCCTCCTCTTCTACAGGGAGAAAAGACCAAAATCCTTCACTCTTTACTCATAGGGCATGTTCTCCAGCACTTTGGTGATGTTCCTTTGGATCTTCTCCAGTCTTTCCTTGACTTTATTGAATTGTGGGGACCAGAACTGGACACAGTACTCCAAGTGCAGTCTGACAAGTGCTGAATAAAGTGGGATGAACATATCTATATCTCTGTTAGTAATACCACAAAATGTTTTCATTTTTGCCTTGTATCAAATAGAAGTTAAGCGGTGGATTATACACTTCCAATTCTACTGAATTTTCTACTCTGACTCCAATACTGTTTTTTTGCCAACACTGGATCCTCTGTTGCAAAATGCATCTCAGTTATCCAAAGAGCATGTGAAGTCAGGTGGTAACACCTTTAATAGCAGGAGTACATAGAGAAATTTTATCTATATAAAATGGTCAATAAAATTGCAGTATTTTCTTCTGTAAAGGTCTTTCAAAGCTGGCACATATTTCATCTGGACTCAAGAATTTGTTGATACATCAGAAATTCTGTATCAAGTCACAGCAAAACTGTACCTGGCCCGGTGTCTAGTTCTCAACAGCACTTTTTCGTACGTATCTGCTACTTAAGTATTAGAAATTGGTCAGGTAACCTTCCCTCATAGATGCTTCCAGCAGTCTGGAACTCAGCTGATTTATGAGATTGTGTGAGTTTTATTATGCACATTTTGCAATGACCTAGCACGCTCTGGACAGGAAACTAAAATCTGAAAAATCCATCAACAGCAAGATAGAGTAAGTCCATTACCTTATTAGCATGAAAACTGCCAAAACCCATAAAAACACAACAAGAAATGTTATCCAGACACTTCCTTTTATTAGGACACTGAAACGATCTAATGTACAAATGCTTTGTGTTAGTTGTAAATATTTCCTGTTTAAGCAGCATTTACAGATGATGTACATTTCTCAAGTAATCTTAGTATGCAAGACACTTTTGCAGTAGCAGCTTCATAGATCAGTGAATGCTAACACTCCACAACCCTGTTTAAAATAATAAAGTCCAGATGGAGTGACAGAAAGGAGACAGTACACCATTCTGTGCAGTGACTGGGATCGTATTTCAAAAGTTAGATTTTTTTTTTAAGTTAGTCAGCCATACCTTTATTTCTGTCTTAATACTCTCCTTATGCATTTCACCTCCAATCCAAAATAATTACTGTAATAAACAGAAAAGGCATCTGCAGGTTTTCCATAAAAACAATGAACCTATACAAACTCCACAAACAACAATCAACTATTTTTAAATATTCAAAGAAAACAGATATCTTTGTTTAAACAAATATATATATATATCATGTAGACATGTTTCTTCAAGCCAAAATCTCTTCAAAGTATAAATTCCTTCCAGTCCATCCCAGTCCCCACATATTGCAAACAAATGCTTTCATCAGGACAATTTCAATGGCCACCTTATTACAGTTACAATGCATTCCTTCTCAACTACCAGATACTAATCTTCAGTAAAAAAAAAAATACGAACATTTATTTTTGATCACTATTTATTATCCTGATGCTTCCACTTAGCTGAAACTGTGTTCCAAATACCTGGCAGGGCAAAATACATAAATTAGCTGAATTAAGAATACAGATATTTATTTTCAATAGAAACTCTGAAGTTTAGGATAAGGCCTTTATGTTTGAGTTACCTCACAGTATCCTGCCAAATAGCTTTCCATTTATTTACTAAGACCCCAGCCTCACTCCCACATCTGAAGAAATGGATGAAGTCCCGCTTCATCCAAACATAACCACAAAGGAACTAAAACAGGCTTGTTCATAGTGCCTAGAGCACTGAGAACTTAAGAACTTTAATGGGCTTCTAATTTTTTAATGTTGTAAGTTTATCCAGAATAGCTTGCTGTCTCCCTAACCCCAGGCAACCTTTTTCCCCAGAGCCATTATTCCCTTCATTGGCTTGTCATCCCAGAGACATTTGTCAAAAAGACAAAATGAAGAGGGCCAAACATGCTTAAACTGACTGGGGATATCTCTCTCCACCAGCTACATCTCACATGTGTCTTCATCTCTCACAGAAACCTTGTATATAACCTGTCAGTAAAACAGACATTATAGCAATACTTCGACTGCTATCAACCACAAGGTGTTCATTTTAGTGTGATCTAAATGCTTCTTTTCTATACACTTGTAAACAAGATGGATAAAGGCAGTTTTACCAATCTTTTAATGCTGAGAATGTGTTTGCCAAGTGAACGTGATGACAGTATCTCTTAGCAACATACTTGAACTTTTGTTTCATCAGAATCACTTAGCTTTGCAATTTCCAGAAATTCCACACCGCTTCCTGAAAATTTAGGTGTTATCACTTCGTTTTAAAGCAAGAAAGAAAAACAAAACCAGCAAAACAAACCCATATATCTAAAGATTGTTGCTAGTTCTCAAATGTGCAACAAAAAATTTTCTCCCCTTTTGCAGAAAACCTAAAACAAAATGCAAGAAGTGAATATTGATTCTGCAACCTAGTGTTTCAATGTTAACTGGTGATTTCCTTACCTTCACAGGTCTACTTTGAACTCCAAAACCATTTATTATGCTGCATCAGAATCCAAGTCCCTCATTTGTCCCCTTTATACATCAAAGGCTCAAGTTTACTTGTATATTCAGGATTCAATTATCAAACCAAAAATGGCTCATATGCTCAAAGTATAGTGCTAAGTACTAATTCCCATTTCTCACAATCTCTGAGAGCCTTGAGGTTGATTGTTCTGCACTTCTGTTCCAGTCTGTAAAACAGGAATCAGCTTCCTTCCCCACATTTTTGCTCTTTTACATTGTTGGCTTCTCACAGGCTTTTACTCACAGTTAATAGAGAAAAATGTAAATGTCAGTGAAACAGGAATATTCTTTCATATTGTGATCTACATTGCACAAATAATCATTTGACTATGTCAGATAGTCAAGCAACAATCACAAAAGTGCCCCAACATGACTTTAGGTGGTTTGTCTGAATATATGCAGGTGTGAAGTTTTGAAAGCCAGCGCAGAGACAGTCATTATGAACTGAAAGAGGCAACCTAGACTATGCTCATCTGATGCAGAATATTCAACAAAATATGGTTGAACATGCTATAAAATCTAATTATATAAGTAAAAATCTGAATCAAACATGATTAACTTTTTATTTAAACAGTGGTGTTTCTCAAAAATAGTCTTGTAGTCCTTGTAGCAGCAACCAAAAAGGCACGTAAGTACAAAAGAATGCAGAATACAGATAAGGCAGAATATAAATGGCTTTCTTAAAGCAAAATCATGAAATACATAGCTATAGGTATTATCTTATAAAAAGGTACAGTTCACTGTCATTCTTTCTTACCACTTTCCTCTGATTAGTGCAGTGTGTTCATTTGTGTAATGTCCATTTGTGTTTACTGAAAATCCTGACAGCACAACCTCAAAATATTATTATCCAATTATGTTGGGATTTTATGTGCACATATTGAGTTGTTTCAGTAGTATTAGTACCATCTAAACTCTTACCAGCTTCTGTCAGTCTTCCCCTCTAAGACATAGATGTTTAGAGGTACAACTTAACACACGCCATTTCAGTGCTTCAAAGTAGTTTGACTAAGTAAGTGTTTAGTTGCTATTTTAAAACTTTGGTTCATTCTTCATATTGCTTACGGTTCTTCAAGACTGGTGCAAAGCCACCCTGACTGAACATATGATAATGGAATTACACCATTTTCACAATTCAGAGGTTTCAGTTTAGAAGTTTTAAAGTTACTAATGTGAAAAACCTCACCCATAATATCAAACATGCATAATTACATATGAAATACAGGAAGCAAATAGTATTTAATATTAATTTATCATTTAGATAATAGAGTTGTCTGGCCAGGCATTGTTAAAAACTAGCTTCCAAAAATGGTTAGAAAAAGATATAAGCAAAAAAAAAAAATTGAAGTTCCTCCTATAGTTCAATAATAAATGACATAATAGAGCACAAAATTGTATCTTAATGTTTTATTTTTCTCCCTTTTGGCAGTTTTAGGAACACCCTATCTTAATTTGAGGACTGGGGGAGTAATTCCTTTAAATTTATTTGAAATTCCTATATTCTGAGAACATGCAGAGAAAATGATACATTTCAGACGTTTTTGGGGAAAACTGAATGTCAGTATACATTTTTGAAAATGTTTAAGGGTTTGAAGACATAAACATAAAAGCAACTTATGAAAGAGTCCTGTATGCAACAGTGATATCTCATTTTAAGGAATGCTAGTAAATGGTAGAGTTTGAATTGCAAGTACACTGTGTCATTCACCAGTTCCAAAATTCAGCATTCTTCCCCTCACTGCATTTGTATCATTCTGGAACAATCCTGTAACTCAGTCAGGTTTCAGTGCTATCTGTGGAAGAACCTGTATATCTAAAGTGAAGTCACTATACAGTGTAAAACACTTATCCTGATAATTTAGGGAAAGAGCAAAACAGCAGTCTAATTCAATACAGCCTGTGCAGCTTCCTTAAGAAGTGATGCAGCTTTGTCCAGTTCTTGTTCTGTTTGTTCCACTGTTATCACTACCCGAATACTGGAAAAAGAAAATCAGAATATAGACAGTAAACTTTACTCCTTGCCTGCAGCTTTAGACTTTTCTCGTACTAATTTTAACACATTAAGATCACTATCTCTAGGGAAATTATTATGAATTCAAATTCAACCAGAAGCAAGACATATGACTGAACACAAACAGTCAGACTACTTTTTTTCCCCCATACACACACCACAGAAATCTGATTGTTACCTTTTTCACCTGCAGATGTGCAGCTCATAGAAATATGCCTGGTAACAGGCAAGGTGTTGATCACTGAGTTTTCAGGCAGTTTAGATACAGGATGCTAATACCCTGAAGTAACTGTAAGTCACTGAAAATATAGCACAAAATGGAGCCTTTCCCATTTTTTTGAAGGACCAGCTATTCAATCCAGTCTACTGAACAAAACTCCATTATTGGATGAAAAGAGAGAGAGAGTCATATCCAATAAAATGAAATAATGTATTGAGTTTCTACTAACCTAGGTGGAGGAAGACATTTTTCTTCTTTCTCCAGATAGCGGGCCTGAGTTAACGCAATGCCACTGTTCATGCACTACAAATAAAGAAAGTATAGCAGTCATTATTCTGGGAACTTCTGATGGCATATCCTTTTGATCACCAAATACATATAACTAATTTTATGAGTTTGGTGTCAGGATAACTGTAAATTCTTTCCCAAATGGAGGTTTTGAATCCTGTACAAAATCATCTCTAATTTCAATACAGCATAAACACATAAAACAGGTTAGGGTGGTAGCTTCTCCAAGTAGTGAGACAAAAATGCTGTATTAAGTATGCTACTAGGTCATATTCAAGCGTATTGTCAAGGAAATCAATCTCAGCTTCTTTTTGTTGTGTAGCCTTGTGTATCAGCCACCTGAAATATAAAACTTCCCCATTAACCTTCATCTCCTTCATGTAGGAGAGAGAGAACCAACGTGTATTGAAGATGGAAAAAATACTACATACAAAACATGAGATTCTTCACCCAAAACAAGCAAGTTCATGGACTCAAAACAAGCAAAATTACAGAAAGCTAGACCTCAAATGGGTAAAATATACCACCAGAACTCTATGATCATCCTATAAGTATTCTCAGCAAGTTTTATATGCAAATTTAACTCGAGTTTTGAAGTAACAGACCTAAACACATCTGCAGCAAGAAATGCTTTGAAGACAGTCTTTAATATAGCTCTGCTGTCAGCAAAGAAACTGAGTTTCTTGCAGCATTCCTGTAAGACATTCCAAAGCCTCCCTACCCATATGCACTTCATTTATTATTCACATTCAAAGGCAAGGATATCTTTTAATTGTTATGGGGACACTTACATAGTCCACAACTCTTTTGAGTAACTTCACATCACTTTCTCGAGACCCACAGCTCTCTTCCAACTGTAGGTGCAATGCTGGAGAAAAAGATTCTCCCACTACTTTTAAGCCAGAAATCCTAAAACAAATAAAAAGCCTTTAATGTACATTGTGTTACAAGTTCTAGACAGTAAGCGTTTCCCTTTTCTATTTGGCAAGCGAGAAGAGAAGGGTATTTCACTTTACTAATACTAATGCAGACAAAAAAATGTACATTTCAGCTTGCAATACCTAAAGATAACAAAACTTATCAAGTCCATGTCTTTCCTAAGTTTACTAAATGTGGTTTCAGCAAGTTTGTGTAACAACAGTGACTCCTTTTGCAAAAAGGATTAACAATTCAGAAATTTTGGAAGGATCCCTATGAAGATGTAGGATAAATGTTAGCGTTAGGCCTCTATGTTGCTGATAAAAGCACAGCTAGCTAAGTCAAGTCTTTGGAGTCTCTATTAAGAAAATAAATAAATCTTTCACCCACTTATGTGATAAGAAGAAACAAGGTTTGTTTTCTGGCAAGAGTTCTGATTTTGAATTATTTTCTGTAGAAAATCTTTACAACATCATCTGTCACTTAGAAGCTCCTTTAAAACCAGTTATATTAATAGAATTGCTCCCACATATGTACATAGGGACAGTTATTAATCAGGTTCCTAAAATTTGATTGAATGATTGACATTTGATCATCATTATCCTGACATATTTTATCATCATAGTAAAGACTGAGTTACTGCCCTCTAAAAAACCATATCAGATACCCAAGCAAGGCCTCTGGTCTCCAAAGTTAACAGGTCCCATAAACGCATGTCTACCATCAACCATAACTTTGATTTCCTGACATTTTGATTTCCTGACTTTGATGAGCTTGCCATGTACACACTCTAAGTTTATACTCTCATTTTCAAGTAAGTTTTCTATTTTTACAATGTTCAAGACACAGTCAGAGCAGAAGAGATGTTAAATGCATAAATACCAGAACTGGAGCCTATAGGAGAGAGAACTGGCACTACAAAAACACACTGAATCAATTATAACCTTGTAAAAGAATAAAATTATACTCTATCATGGAAAGCATCTTGCATTATTTCTACAATGCTATTTCAATTCACAGTCCATTCCAGAAGGACAAATCAAACTGATATTCTTCATCAGCCACAAAACTGCAAACATTCTGGTGTCATTCACCTGCTAATCAAACAAAGGCAATTTCGTTAATACACAAGCACACATAATGCATTTGTCTTACTACGGTACCCATATCTAAGGATCAGGGATACAATATTTGGCAACGTAAAGTCCAAGGTCCAGCTACAAGGTACAAAGACAATACACAGTATAGCAGTATAACATATCCATTCTTTGTTACATTCCCTAGGAGTTATCTGACTTCCAAGAAGTAGTATTCTACAAGTTGGGAGATGAGAGTACAAGTCAGAGAAAGTTGCACTGTAATTTAAATCTATTTGCTGAAGAACAGAGTTTAGGACACAATACTAAACCAAATAATTAGGTTCTGTTTAGAGAGAGTATTAGCTTCTTGTTATAAAATATACATGATTCTTTAATTGAAATAGATAATCATAAATTGCCCCCCTACAAAGATTAAATGAGAAAAGATGAGTAGGAAACAAGCTTTGTATCACTTCCATTCAAACTGAGTTTGCCTGAACAACATGCTTTGTATTTGCTATACACTTACTTGTAGAGGCTGCTTACAAGTTTCAAACTTAATTTTAATCTTCAAACTTTTTCTGTCAGTCACAGATGTAATAAACTGAACTATATAATTCATCTTATCCAACTATTTGAAGAAACCCAACAGTTTAACATGAGGTCCCCTGATGCCAAAACTTTAATTTTCATGTAAAGTATTAACTGTATTTTTCTGAGCCTCTGCCAAATTAAGATTCAACAAGTACTGGAGAATCCATTGCATACACACCATAACCTTCTTGAAATCAGAACTTGCTTTCCTAAGAAATGCTGAGGAAGTTTCATTTTCAATCAAAAATATACAACTTACACAGAAGAAAAGAGAGAAGTCTGAAAGATCTGATTCTGAAGTAACAAAGGAACAAAACTAGCCTCTTGAACACCAACGCTCCTTTTAAGGCTAGTTTTATATTAGTAAATTAAACATGCCTTGGAATGTTTCCTGGCCATGTGGTGAATGGGTATGGAATGACTCACATCCATACTTTTAACATCTGGATCTCCACGTCAGGGTGGCCACATACAAACTAACTATGAGGAACAGCTCCTGGCTCGTACCAACTCCTGAACTGTATCCAGGAATCCTTTCAAAGAGTGCTGCCTGGCCTGGGCCAAACCCATTCCACAGATCTCTCCAACAATTTGACAGAGTAGACAATTGAGACCCAGTGCCCAGGAATGCTTCCTGATGTTCATGTACCAGTATGAATGTAGCCTTGGGGCGCTCCCTCCTCACAGCTCTCCATACGTCAGCTAGAAGGCTGGGATGCACAGCTGAGTGGTATGGTCGGGTTCTTGGCAGTAGGGAACCTGTATAGCTGGGCTGCCCTGAACACCACAAACATTTCTGTCAGTTTTGCTAACAGAAAACTAGAATGACATCTCATTGAAAAAACATCAAGATTCTCTGGGAGGGAAAATCTTTAAAAACAAACCGTATTTTCCCCAATGAAAACTTCCTTTATTGGAAAATTCTCAGCCAGATGTAGGATATGTGATAAATAATGAACTATTTAAGGGACACTACCTACTACTATTATGGTTTTTAAAAAAAAAACACAAAATTCTGTCCCGTCCGTCTTGTCTCCCTGCAACAGAGCTTCATTTCTAATTACTAAGACACTAGATATTTTTAAGTACAAGAAAGAAACCTATTTTATCTAAGATAATTAAGAAAGTTAATAATATTCCTGATTTGTGTTTAGCGTCCCACTTGGTGGATAAGGAATTGGCTGGATGGTCTCACTCAAAAGAGTTGCTGTCAACTGCTCGATGTCCAAGCAGAGAGCAGTGACAAGTGGTGTTCCTCAGGGGTCAGTGTTGGGACCACAGATGTTTACCATCCTTGTTGGTGACATGGGCAGTGGGACTGAGTGCACCCTCAGCAAGTTTGCTGACAACACCCAGCTGAGTGGTGTGGTCAAGACACTGGAGGGAAGGGATGCCATCCAGAGGCACCCTGACAGGCTTGAGAGGTGGGACCACGCAAACCTCATGAAGTTCAAACAAGGCCAAGTGCAAGGTCCTGCACAGGGATCGGGGCAATCCCAAGCACAAATACAGGCCGGGCGAGGAGTGGATTGAGAACAGCCCTGCGGAGAAGAACTTGGGGGGTGTTAGTGGATGGAAAATGGACTCTGAGCCAGCAATGTGTCCTTGCAGTCCAGAAAGCCAACTGTATCCTGGGCTGCATCAAGAGAAGTGTGGCCAGCGGGTCAAGGGAGGGGATTCTCCCCCTTCTACTCTGCTCTCATGAGACCTAACCTGGAGTGCTGTGTCCAGCTCTGGGGCCCTCAACATAAGAAGGACGTGGACCTGTTGGAGCAGGTCCAGAGGAGGCCACAAATATGATCAGGGGGGCTGTGGATCACCTCCCTCATGAGGACAGGCTGAGAGAGTTGGGGTTGTTCAGCCTGGAGAAGAGAAGGTTCCAGGGCGACCTTATAGCAGCCTTCCAGTACTTAAAGGGGACCTACAGGAAAGATGGGGAAGGACTCTTCATCAGAGAGTGTAGCGATGAGGGCTAACAGTTTTAAACTGAAAGAGAATAGATTTAGATTAGATATAAGGAGGAAATTCTTTACTGTGAGGGTGGTGAGACACTGGAACAGGTTGCCTGGAGAAGCTTTGGATGTCCCTTCCCTGGAAGGGTTCAAGGCCAGGTTGGACAGGGCTTTGAGCTACCTGATCTACTGGTAGGTGTCCCTGCCCATGGCTGGGGGGTTGGAACTAGATGGCCTTTAAAGTCCTTTCCATGATAAACCATTCTATAATCCCATCTCTTACTGCATATTCTTATGCTTTATAAACTGCCACAGACAATAATAAAGTAGTCTATGCAAGATTCAGAAGAATTCTTCTACCTCTTCCACAAACCTGCACTTTGCTTGTACCCACAAGAGGAATAAACACCAGTTGTTCCTCTAGCCTACAACACTACAGTTTCTTCCCTCACCATAGCCCATATAAAGACCAACATTTTTTTCTGAATGATAATCATGCACTGTTCCTTGTATATCAAGTCCTAGATTCAGGAGTTAGTTACATCTTGTCTAAAAGCAATACTTCATTTACTTTTAATTCATTCTTCTCATTGTATTTGTTCTATTATGAAAAAGGAGAAAAGCTGTATATCCTTTCCCACTACCTTTGTGTACAGTTCTACCATTTTATACCCTATTAAACCAGGTAGTTCAACTCCATCATAGTGAGAGCACCATAAAGAATTGGAATCAAGTAGTAGACATGGTTAGGCAGGTAAGATGAGTGCATTTAACACCAGAGCATTTTCTGAAAACTTTGCCTCCTCTTCATCACACACTTTTTGTAGTGTGGCAATTCATTTGAAAAAACACACTGGATCTTGCAAATATTAGTTCAAATCTTCTCTCCGATACTGCTTTATGCAATTTTCAGGATACTTTTCCTTCTACAGCACCGCTCAACTCCCTGGTGTTGATAAATCTTTCAAGTGCTTTCTCAGTATGACCTAGAAGAACTATTTCCATTGCAATTTTTTTGGACCTCTAGCTTACCACACTGTTTTCCATAGGGCAAAAATACAAAAGTTCTCAACACTCAGGCTTTTTGCCTACTTGTTGTAGAAGTGTAGAAGCATCTGTGTATCTTTGACCTGAAAGTCTACACATTTTAAACGTGTGTTGAAACAGAACACAGCAAAGGAGAGAAGGATTATTCGATGGTAGGATTACTCCAAAGAAGTTGAATGTAGCTAAAGTTCTAACATAAAATATCAGCTAATCAAAAAACTGCTTATTTGAAATAACAAGCAACTTACACTGAATAACTGTAACTAATACTAAAAAACCCAGTATATCAATCATGCATTGCAGAGTTCGTGTATAATTAACTGTAATTCATTTCTGCAATACGTAACAGAAAACTGCTTAAGAAAATGAATTGTAAGATACCAGCTAACCTACCTATTCTGCACATTAAACAGTCATTGAATAGTGACAGTAATTTCTATTTTTTTTAGTATCAAAACCTCTCAGGAAAAAAAAGCAATTACTCAGTACAGCCATCTTTTAAAACAGGATATTGTTAGAAAATTCTAAATCGAATCCTTATTTTTTGATAAATTCTGGCAATTTTCTATGTGCCCCCAAAATAAGGAATACTTCTGTTACTATTTAAGATAGTATGTAAGATCACATGTCTGTAATAATTATATTATCATATGTTTGATAGTTATTAAGATCATATAGAAGAACAATATTGTATTAAAGGTGACTGCAAGGTGCCTTGAGTTGTCTGAAAGAGTATCTGCTAAGCTACATCCCGAACACTTTTACTTACATATTTTTTTGAAAATGCTTATCAACACTTCATACCATTGAAAGCTATCATACTCTCCTGAAGACTTAAATGTGTGCGTGCTTGTAAACATCCTCACTAGCATTAAGGTATAATCTCACTTCAGTACCTGTAAGGGTATTTTAAAAACCTGGACTCTTTTTAGTAGCATAACAGAGACAGATGGAAAAGGATGACTTCTTTACATACATACATACATAATTTGGTATACATATCCCAGTCTAAGCATCTGTAAAACCAGAAATAGATTTGGGCAAGGAGTTTGAAGTTGGCATTATAAAGGCATGGTCAAATCAACATCAGCCAAAAAATAAAACCCCAAAATCCATACTTACCCCTGTAAAATTTTGTGAATTCGTTCGCATTTTGCCCGGAGAGTCTGAAAAATGTCTACATACACAGAAAGAAAAAAGGAAAAAAAAAAAAAAAAAAAGATAAAAACCCCAAACTGACTTAGAAATGCTGTTTCTACTTCACATTCCTGTAATTCTAAGATTTCAAAAAAAGCATTTGGAAGAAAAACTAAAATATACGGATCTACTGAAGTACTGACTCTCTTCACTATTTTTTATAAAGTTCCTGATTCCAATTTCTGCCAGGAAATGACAGGCATTTAAGATCTGACTTTCCTTTAACTTGTTACTTCAGCTGCACTGGTTCAAGTATTGTGTTCAGCTCTGAGGATCCCAACATAAGAAGGAAACAAGACTGCTCGAGCAGGTCCAGAGGAGGCCACAAAGATGATCGGGGGGCTGGAGCACCTCCCTTATGAGGACAGGCTGAGAGAGTTGGGGTTGTTCAGCCTGGAGAAGAGAAGGCTCCAGGGAGTACTGGAGCCTTCTAGAACTTAAAGGGGGCCGACAAGAAAGATGAGAAGGGACTCTTTATCAGGGAGTGTAGTGATAGGACAAGGGGCAATGGTTTTAAATGGAAAGAGGGTAGATTTACATGAGATATAAGGAAGAAATGCTCTCCTGTGAGGGTGGTGAGACACTGGAACAGGTTTGCCCGGAGAAGTTGTGGATGGCCCTCCCTGGAAGTGTTCGAGGCCAGGCTGGACGAGGCTTTGAGAAACCTCATCTACTGGAAGGTGTTCCTGCCCATGGCAGGGGGGTTAGACTTGGGTGATCTTTAAGGTCCTTTTCAAACCAAATCATTCTAGGATTCTGTGAAAGATGACACAAACACTTGGTAATGGGATCGAAAGGCAGGTCCAACTCACTTGTATCTATAAATATCTACAGCCATGCAGACTCTGATCCTTGATCCTTTCACCAATTCACTGCAGATTCTTAAACAGGAAACTGACTCCTGGATCTGCAAACCCTCGTTCTTTCCCTTGGCAAAGGTTGGACCCTTAACTACAGCTAGCAGACCCATAACTTACTCATATTTTTCTTGCTTTTGTCGAATTTCTGAGGATTAGGCATGGGCTACCCAGTAATTTTTATTTATTTGTGACAAATTAAATACTGCATCTCTCTGCCGCTGTCCTCCAATATGTTGGTGCTAATGAAAGTCAAAAACAAATACATGCATATTTAGCCAATTTTGTCCTTCTCATATGCCTTTTACTCCCTCCAACCCCGCACAAAAAAAAAAAAAAAAAAGAAAAAAATCTTTCTTAGGTTCTAACAACAAGGGCAATTGTTTGACTCCTAGAGCAGAAACTCCTGCCTGCCAACTTTATCCAAATGCCCTGTACTTGGTCCTGCTAAAACTGCAGGTGTTTGCACCAAGATCATTCCTCTAATTCTTGCCTGGATGCTTACTTGGAGAAGAAAAATAAATTAGGTAGTGGAACTTGAAAAGAAAGGGTTGTTCAGTCCTGAGGAGTATATTTCCATTTGTTTCTTTTTAACCTTCCCTCCCTCCATTTGTCTTGAAGGAATTTGTTTTCAAGCAAGAAGCATATCACTGGTCTACAAAGTAGAATAACAATTTCTTATTTTCCTACTGAAAAACATTCTCTGTCCCTCCTAGTCTCAACCAACTTGCTCATTTTCACCCAGAAGAAAGGGAGGAAACACTGAAGAAGAAAAGCAGGATGTGAAATTACATGATGAAAAAATCACACATGTAAAATTAGCTTAGAGGACTTAAAAGAGTAAAGAGGTGACTAATCAAAATAGGGAGAAATATGAGTTACTACTTTTGGTTGAAGAAAGAAAGAGTACGATTCTCCTGAATTAAGTACCTGGATTATCTTCCATAATATTCAAAGCCTCAATAGCAGCAGCAGCTAACAAAGGAGGTAGGGATGCAGAAAAGCAGTAGCCTTGACCAGACAATCGCTGTGGGGGAAAAAGAAAAAAAAAAAAAATAAAAGAAAACTCACTTTTTTTGTGAAGTTTTGGAGTTATGAATAAAAGAAAAGTCACTTTTTTTGTTTATAGCAGTAAAGACAATGTTTTAAAAGTTAATTCACATACACTTAAACAACCTCTCCCCCCGCACTTAGGAGGTTCATGGAAGGAGTTAAAAGTAGGTATCTGATTAATCTACAATATTTCATAGAACCAGACAGTTTCTGTATGGAAACAGATGTTCCATAATGATTTATGTAACAACAATCCTTGCGAATTGATATTAGTAACTAACTCTCATTTCTAAGTAACTAATCCTGCTACACCATATAAAAATGAGACCTGTCTTACCTGATGGTCAATAATAAAAGATCTTCCACAGCAAAATCCTCCAATAGAAGCCAGTGAATTTTCCATATTTGCACTAATAAGATCTATATCATCAATCTGCCAGTCAAATTAACAAGTTATTAAGATATGTTTTTGATTACATCAAGACCATTTATAAGATAAATCTATTAGAGATATATCTTGTTTCACATTATCATGAATACTAGAGAAGATCCACCAAACTATCACATATTAAAATGAAGCTACAAATAACAACTTTAAGCAATACAGAAGGACTTTAGAAATTGAGGAGATTTATGGATCTGTAGATAATTTACACAGGATCATTCTTCCAGGCATTTCAGTGTGAAGAACACAGAAAATAGAAATTATGTAGATATTGGTGACAATTCCTCAAAGCACTCAGTATGCCAGTGTCCTTTAAGAATGTAAGTAGTATAACTGCAGTCAGCAGGACTCAGAATGGGATTAAAACTGAGCATAAGCCTAGTTAAATCAGGGAACATAAGTCACAACTGTCTTATGCCACTTGTTAGTTGCAAACATATTTTTTGTCAGGCTCTGTAATGCATGCTGATGACCACTGCTACAAATTCCCATTCTGAGCAGACAAAAATGAAATATTATGTTTGTAAATGAATTCAACATAGAAGCCAATTAATCAGATGGTGCTTGGCAAGCATCACAGTAGCACTGTTTGTTTGCTTTTCTAAAGCTGTTTAACATTTATTTTCTCTTTTCCACATTTGCTATTAAGACATTTGAAGTGAAAACAATACGAGATATGGGAAGACAGAATGAATTCTCAGAATTCAGTATTTCACCTCTAAGCTGAACTCAGACGCTGTCCGAATGTAGTGGGAGATGCTCCACACTAAGACACTGGCAACCAAAAGAGCATTTCTTCCTTCCTTCCCCAGCTCAGGTGGCTGTGGTAGTAAACAACCACAAGGACACCCTTTCGGACTTCCAAAGTACTCCTCAGCTGAGTAAACACCACAAAACAAAGACTCTCAGAAAAATGGCTTGGCTTAATCTGCCAGTGAAGTAGGTAAGACAACATCTTTGAAAGGTCCATCAAAAGCTTTATCCTATTTTTCCCCACTGGAGTAAAAGGCAACAGAGCAAAGTAGGCTGGCCATACACTGAGATTTTTCTGACTTACCCCCAGGCCCCACATATTTCTGTGTAAACATGACACTTTTAAGTGTACATGGCTGAAACACAGCAATCATCATCTCACTGAGTGTCCAAAAAAGGATAAAATTATGTATTCTAAAAATTATTTTGTTATCTTCCTCACTAAAGGTAAGTAAAATTATTTCAAGTAAGCGCATGAAAGGCAAGTGCCAAGACCTAAATACTTTAAGACTGATAATGAAAAGTGTGTTTAAAAACAATTTGTTGTACACTACTAAGCTTTGTTAATGCCACAGGTAAAAGAAATCAATTGTACAATTTGTTTCTGTACAAGTCTCTTGTTCACAACAAAACTCATAAAAAAGGCATTTACATTTATTCCAAAGTGTTCAGTAATTCCTCTTCCATGTTCTCCAAGGACTCCAAAGGAAAGGCTCTCCTCTAGAAATATTCTAACTTTGTACTTATACTTCAATTTTATCTAAAACAGAGCAAATGATATAAAATACAAGTCAATTCCATTAGAATTTGGTAACATAAGGAGTGGGGGAGATAAAGACAGGCAAGTTCAGTATTCTGAATACTGCAAAAATGTCAGCATGTATTTTCACAGCATTTCTTCCATTATCTACTAGAATATAGCCTGCACTAAAAGCCAATTTATGCTGAATAGTAAACGTTTTCCTTGGAGTCACTGTTTATGACAGGTGTGTGAGGGTTTCTTTGAAAACTTTATTTTTTTTGAGGTACAACTTAGTTTAATGATTTAATATCACACAGCATAGCTGAAAATACAGTGTATTTTACAGGTTAAAAACTAAGACCATAATGAGATATTCATTCACAAGTCTTATTACATATAGCTTCAGAATCCTAATCCTGATCATAAATTTCAAAATAATGTAAGAGTTGGGATTGCCATTTCATGAACGTTTGAGAAAGCAACGTAAAAAAAAACAAACTGCATGCAGAGCTTTTCTATGTAGGCTTAACTATATGATACTACTATTTCATTAGCCACAAATTTTCATATACAGAGTTTAAAAGGCAAACTGAAATCACTTACCAATTCCGGAAGAGGGCAAACGTCTCCTGTGTTCATATACAATCCTTCCACTACAATAAACCTTCGAGTTACACGGGCCTTGCGAGGATTCTTCAGAGAAAGGTATGATTTCAGTTCATATCAGTTATGACTAATAAGTAAAGCTCTGAAGATTTTTTGATAGGGAATGACAGTAATGGGAAGGGAAGGAAGATGTCTCTTTTTCAAGTAAGCTTTTACTTTAGTTTAAACTTAGTATTTATCATTTGTAACAAAAGTTGAAATGCCTCACTAGACTACTTTTTCTTTATTTTGTAATAATTTTAAAGCTTTTAACTCCTACACAAGATTTAAGATGCCTTGTTTTACAACAAATCATAACCAATCCATTTGAACTTTATGAATAAAATATAAACAATACAACTACAGAACAAATACTACAAATCTTGGTCTCTATTATATTCCTCATTAGTCTGAGCATTAAGAAGGCTTTTCAACATGTGGTTTGTGCACTAGAATTCTCAATGCAGCACAAATCTCTCCCAAGTAGCGTCATCACAAAACACAATACCAAAGTATTCATAATGCTCAAGTTACTATCTCCTTGTCTGATCTCTGCACAATACAGCCCATAAGAATATCCTGCACTGGTTTCTGTTTAAACTTCAATGGTATGGCTTGAGTTTTATTGTTTTAAAATGCCATTCCCTTAGTATTTACTTTAAACCTTATTGGTAACTTCTGATCAAAGATATTAAGTCATGCTTCTTACCTTTTTCAGTTCTTGTAAAAAGATTCAGAGAACATCTATTTGACTTTCCTGATTGGTAAGCACCAAAACTAGGCACAGTCTACTCCACAAGTTGGACCAACTCTAGTGTTACCCCTTCCTATGTCTTACTATGTATTAGTTATACACGCATGATTATATATTAAGCTATTGGCCACCAACTTCATGTTCACATTCAGCTAATTACATTAAGAAGCTTCAACCATGTAGCTAAATCAAAGCACTAACAAACCTAATGTGTCACAAAAATTGCATCACTAGTCTGTCAACCACATCTAAAACCTCATGCAAAGATTATCTGATGAAATGTATTTTATATGAAAGCATGTTAACGAGTATGTTGCCTATAAATTTGCTATTAATTAGATCCATTACCAATTTAAATTGATGTTACGCTGATTGGCTTATAATTATGCAGTTTATCTACTTTAATTATTCTATGTGCTAGCACAAAAATCAGCTTTCTTACGATTGTAACTTCCCAGTGTTCTGTCAACTAGGCATGTAAGGGTGATAGCTCTTCAGCTAATTCTTATAATATTATATATTATTCATATAATTCTTATAATAAGAATATAAGAATATTATATATTATAACCAAGTTATCTGTACTTGTTGATCCTGATTTTGGTAGCTGCTTTTGAAAACCTTATTGTATTACTGTCAGAATGAGAAACAAGCCATCAAACTGACCCAAATTTTTCAAGAGACAACATCTTAGGAGTTGAGTGCAAGATAAGGGAAGAATCTAAAGGGAAAAAAACCCTAAAATCATGTTGATTCTATATATTAATGGGCTAATTCAAACACTTATTGTGTTGATTTTACAGTCTGACACTCAAACTGAGAAATAACTTGCATGATTTATTAGGTAAATGCAGTTATAAACGTTTCTAAAAGACCAAAAAAAAAGCTCTGTAACAGTATTTAAAAAAATGGAAATCATCTCACACTTCAGTCATATGCCCATAAGGATATTCCTCTGCTACCAACACCTGTGAGTTCACTTCCAGTGGTTACTCAGACAAATGAAAATAAAGATTATGTTTTTAAAATACTGTATCTCAATTACATAAACAACATTAATTGCTCAATAGAAATTTATAAAAAACAAGTAACTTTCTATCAGCATTACATCCATTTAATTACACAACCCAGTAAAAAAAACATGTGTAGGAGGTAGCAAAAAGAGCACAAATACTACTTAAAAAAAATGGTACCTTTTGATCGTCAGTCTCTTGTTCTTTCAACAGTCGTTCAAGGTCAGCCATATCATTATGCTTAAATAACTTGATGTTACTACGAGATGCTTGTAATCCCTTCTGAATAGCAAAGCAGGCAGCTTCATCTCTGTAAATATAGCAAGCCCTTCTAAGTTTGCATTCAGTTTAACAACTATTCAAAGAAAGTTGACTATTAGGACTGTCCTGCTTTTGAGCAGATATCTGCACTTCAGTGTAGTTAAAACCAGATTTATTAAAGCACTATACATGCTTCTCAACTTTCCTATACATTATGGCCACTAAAAGCAAGCCAGCAGAATAATCCCAGAAACCTCTCACCCCATTTGCTCTGGTTCTCAGAAAAAGAACGCAAAGATGTGCCTGTAACATTTACAGTGGTTTCCAAGTATTCAAAACCTACTTTTTAATATCCTTTGGGAATTACTATCTCAGTGTTCAAAGAACTATCCACCATTGTCATGCTGGAAAAGCAAATATATGAGCATGATTGGGTATGCAACAGCTGCTTAACTCAAGTATCTTTTAAAAGCGGCAACTAAATCAAACATTCTGCACATGCTATATGCCGTAATTTCAAACAAGCTTCTCTTAAATACAGTGAGACCTTTTGTCAGTATGAAGCTGAAACAGTAAAAGATAGCAAAATGCAGGATACAATGGAATCCTGAACAGCACGCACAATGCTGGTCATTTGTCTCAAAAAAGATGATCTGAAAAATGTTTAATGATGACCAAAAAACACAATCAAAGTCATGAAAGAACTTCTGCAAGTCAAATAGGTTGCAAGTTTTACGCTTAGAAAAGAGAGCACTGAAGAAAGATTTTGGCAGACAAATACAGAAGTATCAGTGTGTTGTGGCTTAACCACAGCAGGCAGCTAAGCCCCACACAGCCTCTCACTCTCCCCATGGAGAAGATGCACAAATTCACTGCTTAAAAATCAAATGCATCAATTGAAATTACTAGTGGACATATTGAAAACAGGTATTTCTTCATAATTTTTTCCTAAAATGTTGAAGTTAAACTGTGAAATTACATGTCATATAAGTATTGTGGATATTAAAGATTTTGACACTGTCCCACATGACATTCTTGTCTCTAAATTGTAGAGACATGGATTTGAGGGTGCCCTGGTTTGATCCCAGAGGGCAACTGAGCACAGGACAGGGAGGGATGACTCACCCTTTGCAGTCATGGGCAAAAGACAGACTCATTAGGTGAAGGAAAAAAACCCATCACTTAAATTCTAATACTAACAACACTTAACAGAGTGGAACAGTGAGCAGCATTACCACATCTTAGAAAACACCTTCCCCCACCCCTTTCTTCTTCCCAGGCTCAGCTCTGTTCCTGATGTCTCCACCTCTTCCCCTCCAGCAGCACAGGAGGATGGGGAATAGGGGAGTTACGGTCAGTCTGCTGCTTCTTCCTCCTCGAGGTGGGGAGGACTTCTTGCATTCTTCCCCTGCTCCATGGGGCTCCACTCTCACTGCGACAGTCCTCCATGAACCTTCTCCAGCATGAATCCTCCCCGTGGGATGCAGCCATTCCTATACTGCTCCAGCATGGATCACCCCCACGTGCTGCAGTCCTCCCAGCACCGAACTACAACAGTGAGGGCTTCTCCTTCCCTCAGAGTCCTGGACTCCTTTAAAGTGCAGACGCCTGCTCTAGTGTGGGATCTTCCACAGGCTTCATGTCAGCCTCTGCTCCACTGTGGACCTCCATGGGTGGTGGGGGCAGCCCTTCTGTCTCGCCACAGGATGAAGGGAGTCTTTGCCCCAGTGCACCTCTGCCCCTTCCTCCTCCTTCCTTCCACTGACCTGGGTGTTCACATCGGTGTCCTCCTCGGAACTCCTCCTCACAAGTCCCAACCCCCTCTCAGGTTGCCCTTCTTATATATGTTATCACAGAGGCACAGCCATCACAGCTAATTGGCTTGGCCTTGGCCAGAGGCAGGTCCAACTTGGGGCCAGGGAGCTTTGAGAAGCTTCTCACAGGAGGCCACCAATATAGCCCCCTCCCCCCACTACCAAAAATCCCAGGCTCAAACCACGACAATGACTGTACAGTTTCTTAAGAAGAAAACTAGGTATTAGAGTTCTGTTAGTTCTCGTGTGCACAAGTTTGGGTTTGTGGGATTTTGGGGTTGTTTGTTTGTTTGTTTGTTTTTTTTCCCGCAGCTGAGTACCCAAGGCTGCTCTTCCATGATAAAAGCAGTAACTGATTTTATTGATTTTATTTGGAGTATTTGGCAAAGAAAAAATATCTGAGCTCTGTACAACAAAATACTTGATGAAAACCAGCATTGTTTTCTAAATGGTTAACTTAATATGATTAACAACAATGAAAATGAAAAACTGAAAGGAAAACTCTTTAATCTGGAATTTCCCAAGAAGAAAACAATACTTACACAAATACAATGTCCCCTCTTTTCGAATATGCAGGAATAGCACTGGCAATTGTTGCAAATCCGTATGAGTATATAATAGCTTCCTCTGTCCTCATGAATTTTGCTAGTCGTTCTTCTAATTCTAAGTGCACATCTATTTGAGAGAAAAATTAAAAAAGATTTTAGATGTTTACTTGTTTTCATATCAGAAAGACTATCACTGCTTTTAGAAATCACCTAAATGAAGCAAACAGAATGTTTATTTGTAGGAAGAATGTTACAACAAATAATATCCCCAAAACCAGCTGCAATCAATCCATCCCTACTTAAACTGACAAATAACCCAGTATTAATCAGAAGCTTTGATAGATCTGAAAATGTTTATGTAATGCGGTTCTCTCATGTTCTTATGCAATGGTAATTAAAATCTACTTGTGATTAAACCACAAGTAAATGATGCAGCGTTCCTGTACTGTGACTAGGGAGCACAGTTACTAGACAACAGACAGACGTGTAATTTATAGCAATTAATGAGGTCCTGTTGGCAAGCTGTCCGTTCTTCCAAGCTGATGCTTCCACTGCATATAGCACAGCTATCATTGTAACAGCAAACTGCTCTTGTCAGGCTGCAACCACATATCTCTCAAATGTACTTCAGCCAGTTGAAAAGGTCACCATCTCCGTGCCAAAGATTACTCACCCTTAAGATAAACTGACACAATTGCACACACAAGCATTTTCCAAACCAATTCGGTCAAAATGACCCATGTTAGAAACAAAACACGACTAAATCAAAAGATTAAGAAGGTTAATATGATGGTTAGAGGATTGCTACTGCAGAAAAGTGACAACAGTGTTAAGAATTCTGCCTAAGCAAAACAACTTGTATCAGACAATTTGTTATTTTAATTGTGTGACTCTCACCACTATCAGATTCTGCTAGCAAATGTTAGTCAGAGAACTATGCCTTTTATCAACTGGAGATAAGATTGAAGGCCAAACAGAGGTCCTTAGTGTGTGACCTGAAAGATCGCCATTGGCCAACTGTTTACCTTTTTGCAATTATTGAAAGTTCATTGAAACTAAAATCAAATGAGGCAACATCAGTTAAAAATATAGATTCTTCAAGAGCATATGAAGCATGTTTATGTCAATGTTGCTATTTCTAGCCACGTACCAGGGTGTAAGAAGAAGTGGTTTCGTAAAAAACTTAATTTTGCCATACTAAACAAGTATCTACCATAACCATTCCCCAAAAGGGCATATCCACCTGATACATACATTTACACAATAAAAGCATAAGGTGTGTCTTCAAATAACAGCATTTCAATCACAGTCAAGAGCAATTTTATCCATAGACTGCAAAATATAGGTCTTTAACTATCCTTTCCTAATGTTTACCTGAGCGTAAAAACAAAATGGAATGGAAAGGTATTCTTGTATTCGGTTTTCCAGTGGTTTTAAACGGAAAGAAGAAGTTTAATCACTTATTATTTGGAAGTTTTCTTTTGTTACTTATCACCTTGATCCAGCTGTATTAGACATAGCAAACATTCAGAGAAGCCTGTAACAGCCTTTCTTCTCCAAAATCTTTAGAAGGAAGGATACCAGTGAGAGCTACCTAATAAAATCTCTACCAGAAAGTAGTAGTCCTTCTCCAGATTTTTTGTGTCTTTTTCTTTGTTACATAGACTTCAGGACCAATGAAACAATCTCCAGTCAGATTCAATTATTGAACAAAAAGCCCAAGAAAGATCGGTTTCTGGCAGCAATCATCAAAAAACAAAGCTTGCCACATGACACTTAAAGCATACAATATAAACAACATTCAGCAAAAAAATGTTCCTTCTTGAAGCCCTGGCAGTAGAGAATAACAAATTATGGGAAATAAGGACTGAACTACTACCTTGAGTGCCCAGCTATTGATACCTAATGGGGAAAAATATTTTGTAGTGTAAAAGACCACCTAAATCCTTCAACTAAAAAACTGGAATAGATGACAAGACCATCACAGTTAAAAATGAAAACTTGCTCTTGAAAACAATCATCGCTACTATACTGAGCAAGGGCTAGGTGAAAACAGTGGGCAAAAAAAATACTGTCAACAATAATTAACTAATATAATCAGATTTGTGTTAAGAAAAAGAATTTTACAAGCCTAGTGAATTTTGCCAAGGGCAAGAACATTTAAGTTCAGGATGACATACAGCATACACAATTCTGATACATGATTACATCAGGGAATTAATGCTTTGTATAATTGTGAGGTTGAAAAGCTTAGGACAGTATTAATTAAGGCTTCACCACCACTCCACTGTGACAAAAACAGAATACTATCCGATTCTTCTATTCTTTATTCCAATGATTTTCTTTAGTTTGGTTACATCACTTGGATTAGCCTAGCATAACTGAAAGCTGCAAACATTACCTAGAGTATATCTGAACAGATGATATGACTGTAACAGCTTTCTACATAATTCTGAAACCTTAATAAACCTATTATTGTCAACAACTGCCGTGAAGTACCAGTTTAGTCCCTAGCATGTGCTCGCGTGCAGGTCAAAAAGCTGAACAACTCATACCAAATCCTACATCATCTTTTATATATTTTATCAGATAGCCAGTCCTGATCTTCACAGTAGTACTGAAATTGTGACTGCTAGGCAATCAACAATAGCCTGAAAAAAAATCAAAACACCACCAAAAAAAGTGATACACCCTTCAGCTGTCATTATGGAGAAAATAACCATGAAGATTGTTATGTGTGAATATACTAGTATTTCAAACTCATCATAGGATGAAGGCAGTTTTCAGGGATACATCACAAAACAAAAATATCTTAATAGGGACTTGCTAAATCTATAGAATCCCTTCAAACAGGCAGAGATATGAAGAATCAAGTCTCCATTCAAAGTAAATTATAACATGATATCTACATTTCCAAATAAAGAAATCTCTAATATTGATATGAAATATCAAGACCTAAGGAGATAATTCTGAGTGACAACAATTGACAATCATCAATTAAATCCTGTATAGCTAAGTAAGAGGAAACTATGTAGTTCTGGACACAACGTGACTCATTTAACAAAGTCACAGGACATGAAAAATTGTCTGAAGTTTGAGGCATGCAACATTACTGATGTAAGAAATGCTTCTTAGAGATTCATAATCCTGCCATACTCAAACATTTAAAGTCAAGGAAAAATAGGAAGGCAGTCTGGGATCAAACAAGAACAGCAGGTGTTTGTCTCAAACTTTAAACCAATTTTCCACTACTTTATCTGTAGAAGATGGTATCTCAAATAGGTGAGTATAACATCATTTCCTCACTATTGATGTCATGCAGCAATACCACATGTTATATCCCCTGCTTTGTGAAACAGAGAATTTACCCCAAAAATTCAGAAGCCAAAGAACAGCAACCAAACCAAATGCAAAAGCTATACAGTTTGGATTTTAGGATTCAACCTCCAAAGAGGGCAGAAAACAATCCAAAAAATCTCTCATTTACCAGAGCAAATCAACTTTTAACCAGTTTGTATTGAGTAATTACTAGAAAGAAACAATGTGAAAGATTTCACAGAACTTAAAATCAGTCTGGACAAAAAAGGTAGGAGGCACTAGTCCACAAGGTTCTTTGAACTTCTCACTGTTTCGGGTTTTTTTGGTTGGGTTTGGTTGTTTTTTTTTTTTTTTTTTTTTTTTTGTTTGTTTGTTTGTTTTTTTCAAAAAAGTCTGTATGAATTCTAACAGATCACTGCTGAACTGTGATCAGTGAGGGAATCTAGTTTCCTAAAAGCTCTCTACTAACCAGTGAGCTACCATCACCTTCTTTATGAACGAATTATGGTTCTAGGCTAATGAACTATCCATAAAATTGATATCAAAGACTCAAAGTCGTTCTGATGTATAGACTTCTATCAAATCAAAATAGGTGCAGCACCTGGATGATCACTTAAAGGACTAGTCTGACTAACTAAGAAAAGTTCAAGTTAGTCTTGAATTGAAGTCCTGGCCATAGGAAACTAACTCTATGAAAACATTTGAGTACAAACAAGCTGTGAATTCCATCATCTCCAGGAAGGAAAGTTCACAAGATGATGGGTTTAGGTTTTAGCCTGCAACTGTGCAGCTATTCATGTATTACTGTTCTGCTTCCATGCAGTATTTCAAAATACCAATGCCTGTAAGGAACTATTTCCAGAGGCTGGTATTTAATAACTTGCTTCTTAATAAGAATGAAAAAACCCTTACTAGCACCAGCTCACATCATAAAATCTCTTAATTACAACATTAAATTTATCAGTAAAGGAAAACTTCATTTTGTCTACACCATTCGATAAAATTAACTGTTAACCTTCATCACAGAAATCAGACTGCCCTCTTGTGGTCAAATTAGAAACATTTATTAATTTACACTTAAATTCACCATGCATGATTAAAATCCATGATATTCATTTTCAATTTCTACTATAGTGACCACAGCAGATTATATTTAACTTCACAACTCTCCCCTAAGACCTGCATTACAAAGAGTAAGAAAACAAAAAACAAATAAGAAACAAAGCTACGAACAATAAATACTACCAATTCTTAAGAATTACAATAGAAAGTGTCTTAGAGGGTAACCATTCTTCACAGTGATAGAAATAATTTGCTACTTATATATACAACTATTTTGGCTGACTTAAAGTGGTCTGAACACCTTTAAAGGCAGATCAAAGGCAGTTACTCACCAAAAGTACCATAGAATCCTCTAGGTCCACAGGTGCCAACACCGTATTTCTTCAGAGATGCCTGGGCAGCACTCTTTAACAAAAAAGAATTTTGTGCAATATTTATGCCTGCACTAGATGTCTAACTCTTCTATACACTTCACATTGAAAATTTTATACCAATGTACTCAGGCCAGTTCTTGCATCATGTAACATGACCTGCTTTACAGAAATTATAATGACGTACTGAATTCTGCGAATTAATTTCAGATTAAAACTATTTTAGATAAGTGTCTAAGCATCATTCACTATATTCTAATGATTACAGGCGTTAGATACTAATATAACCCAATAGTCAGCTAGTACACAACTAGTACACCAGATTAAGTTTATCTATTTATTAAAGCTTAAGTAACACAAAATTACAAGGTTTATAATATTCCTTGCTGCTTTAGAAGTATACTTCCTTGTCAGTCTGTGCTTTCTGAAGTCATTCTTAATTTCAAGATAACATACAAAATAAAGGAGGAATAATCACACAAATATAATAACTGAAAAAACTCACCTTAACCTTTTCGTTATCCAAAAGTCCAAGAAAGTTAAACGACGCAAAGTTTATACATTCCTTGCCATTAACAGTGATTATATGAGTGGGAGGACTGAAAAAAAAAAATAGACCTATCATTACGAATGAACAGTTGCCTTTTTCATAAACAGTCAAACAGTACAGGAGTTTGATTTTTCAACAGTAAACGGCACACAGCTTTTTCAAGATTCCCTCTTTCCACATCTCCCTTTGCAGCTGCCAATGAATGCTTATGTTCAGTGTCAAGTCACAAATATACTAACATACTCAGTAAAAACTGTATTCCTGTAGTTTAATAAAAAAAAAAAACAGCAATACCTTCCTATTTAACGATTCCTTGAAAACTTAATTTGTACAAAGATGACTCCTGAAGAGATTAATAAACCTTCTCCTTTAAAAGCAACGTGACATCTATTTGAAAGAAGGAATACTACAAATCAGAAGGAAATTTCATTGCTACTTACTTCCGTGATAAAAATGAATTTAAACTCAATGTTTCTGTCATAAAGCAAATTGACAATACCAATCTCATACTGAAAAGGGTGCCTGAAATATAGGTACTAGCTGTAAGCAGATGAAATTATTGTATTATCTATCATCTCAAATTTCCAAATCTGTTTAATCCATAATGGTTTGAGTAACTCACAATCAGGAAAGACAGAAAGTGTGAAAACACCCAATATTAATAATTGAACAAGAGCACAATATCAATGAAGCAAAGGGCAGAGAAATTATTTGCCCTAAAAAATTATGATTTAGGTAAACAGTTATCAAAAAATTTAAGATAAAAACAGCTACTACCCCTTTAAACACATGCATCACATCTGTGTGCTGCATACTAAAAGCAATCCTGTTTTGGAAATTATACACTTCATTACTACAAAATCAAAAGTTTCAATTAATCACTCAGTGTGTTGAGAAGTCTCAAAACTAAGCCAAATATAAAACCTCATGTCTCTCCATTTCTGTATGCATTCTCAAATGCTACAGTTGAGATCCTGTAGTATTCTTCAAACACAATTGTTTCAACAAGCTTTTCCCGTGTGGAAAATAGCACTGAGAAATTTTCACAGTCAAAATTAAATAGGGCTGCTCAAATGTCAAATGTCTGTGCACAGCTGCTCCAAGTCTGGTGGCTCACAATATTTCAATAGGTACATTTGGTGTGCAAAGCAAATGAATTTTAAATCCAAGCACTACAAGTTAAGAAAAACACTGAACTGCCTGAACTTCACTTAAAAAAAAACTTGATGATTTTGTTTTGTATCTGTTCACTTTAAAAAATAAGCACATATTGCTTCAACCAAGCAATGGCAAAGCTTACGAAACAGCTTTGGAAAGCTTTCTACAAATACAGTGCATGTGCTGTGCATCATCATCATGGCCATTCTGTGACATTAAACTGACACAAGCTGAACCTGACTCCACAAGGCAGCAGTCCTGCATTACTGCAGTGCATCTTCTGTAAAGTAGTAGCCTTATAAAAATGCACAAACTGTCTTGGGGAACTGCTGACTGCCATTAAAAATACACCTGGATCTGTTCCTCTGTCTTTCTCATCAACAAGCTATACCAAATGTGGGAAGTCTTATTAAGTGAAACAACTACTTAAGATTCACAGACAGGCTCACAAGAGCAAATCTATACCTATGTATTTTGGCACTAACACACTGTTCAGTATATTCCCAGCACACTATTAAATGTGGTAAATTTACAGCAATCTGCCCCCACAGCTCCACTTTTCAAACCTAAAAAATACACTAATGTTCACCAACAATTTGCCACTAACAAAGCTGCAGCCCTCATGAAAACATGGCCACTTCGCTATCAGAATTTTACCCGACCTTCTAAAGGAACACTCACAGTTAGGCAGAAAGCACTCACAGAAAAGCTTATTCCGATGAGTTATTAGATCCAAACTATGGATACTAACAGTATCATAAAACCTTCCTTGGAATGTCAAAACCAATGTCTTTGTAAAAAGAAAAAAAATTAAACACTTAATTTCTTTATAGTTTCATGTATTCCCCTCCCCCCAGTATAACACAGTTTGTTAGGTATATGGTTAGAGGTAACAGTTTTGAGATACTGAGTGATCCAGCTGAAACTGTATATAAAAATTTCAAGCTATATTCAACGAACTTGCAAGCAAGTCCTTCAGAAATGTTGTCTTTCAAGGACCAATAGCACTCCATCTGTACTTGCGCCTCCCACTTAGGTGTGGCATGTATTGAAAAAATCAGTCACAGAAGATGATAAAGGTAAAAGCCAGATCATTAGTGCCTTTTTACTTTAAAGCAAAAAGAGAATCAGCATGAGAATTTTGCAGACATACCATTTTAGGAAATAGGTTTACGCTTCCTGAACGAGATCATGTACAAGTAAGCTATCTTGCATAATTAGTTCACAGAAAGGCTATCACAAGAAGTAACTGATATCTGGACTGTGACCAAGCCATCATGGGTAACTTCTTCACTGCTGATTCACGATCAGTCACTTTTCCTGTTTGGACAAGTCTCTCCATTACTGGTTTTGCAATGTTACTGGGATTATGCAAGTGTTCAGCAGAACAAAGCGTATTAACATAAGGCACAAACTGCCTTGCATATTGAGGAATGAGGAAGCCTGCCTCCCCCACACAGTGGGTCAAAAATTTTACTGAAACATTTAATACTTCCTAACTGGTTATAAGCCTATATAAACCCTACCCGCACATTACTGCAAATATGCAACATTAAACCACCACATACTAAGATGATAAAGATTTATGTAACTCACCATTCACAGTAAACATCAATACATGAAAATCACTGAAAGAAGACTACCTCATTAGCATCAATAGCATTCCTTTAAAATACTAATTAAAAGGGCAATAGAAATGCTCTTGAGCTGGAGTTAGGATCCAGACACTTTAAATTCTGTATTAATTCTGAAACGTAGGTTAAGTTTATAGCCCAAGTTACAATCTCATAGCTGTTGAGCAACTTACGGGAAGGTAGTTAGTTGGCAGTTTAAATCCTACAAGACAAATACGAAGTTTTCCCCATAGCCACTATTAAGTTTAACAGCCACAACAAATTAACGTTCTGCCACAATACATTCCCTAGCTGTAAGCACTGGAAGTTCTAAATAATGTAAACATTTTCTGAATCAATCTAAGATACATCTGTTCAGATTTTTTAAAAAAAATCCAACACGTCTTTTAACTCCTCAGTACTGCTTGTTTCAAAATTCCAAAGAATAACAGAGGGATTGTTCACATCACAGTTGATTAAAATAGGCATCCCTTTTCTAAGGCACACTTTTCCGTGGTGGCAGAACCATCAAAATGGAGCTCCCCACGACACCAAGTAATTGTGCTCTGTCACTAAATTTTTTTAAATTATTAGTGTCACTAGAAGGATATTAAGAATGCTTATATTGTAAAAGCTACTGACATAGACAAATCTGAAGCCTGGGAAATAAATTTCAAAGCAGTTCCTGAAATACTGCTGCCTACATCAGCACACATTTTAAAAGCCTTGTCACATTCAAGAAAGTAACGCTGGCCCATAACTTCCTCACAAAACAACTTCGCCATCAAGCATCTCCACTTCTGATTATCCAAAGAAGAATGGCTTTTCATGAAGTGCCAAGTGTCCCGCCACAAAATCAAGTTTCTTCTGAAGTGATTTGTGATGATACATTTCCCACCAATCCCCACACAGAAGGTGGAAACCACTTTTGCAAGTCTAAGTCTACATATTCAGAAAAAATTAAATTAATTACTACCAAACAATACAGACCCACAATAAAGGCAAAGATAAAGTGTCCCTTCCACCACCCGCAATATTTAAAATAATAATAATAATTAATTACAACATTTAAAATAATATTTTCTTAATAAGATAGTCTTGATAACATCACAAAACCAAGACCATCTTTTCAGTGGCAAATTCAGTCCTGCTATCTAAAAATGCAATTCATTTATGAAAGGTTTTAAGGATATGGAAATTCTTAGCAAGAAATAAGCTTAATAATACGTACATCAAGTATTTTAGTTCAAATAAAAACCAGAATTTATTTTGGTTATGTTTACCCTGAAACAATGTTGTAGTTGAGAGCTGGGTGATCTTCTGGTACAGGAGGTACAAGAGGCTCTGGCTGCCATTCTTCGATCAGCTCTTCTTTTTCCTGAACAGGAGAAAAGAAATACTGCTCAAAAAGGATTTCCATTAGAAAAGACATTATGCACTAGTAAACAGTTGGTAATAGTTGTATGAGAAATGATGTTTGCTAATGTGTCACCTTTCTGAGACACTTAGAACTGATATTCTGCTGAGGGGCTCTTAGTTCTTCAAAAGGAAGGAAATGTAAAGAAAGATAGTCCAGTTGTACCTGTGTGTTAAAGATCTCATGATATGTTAATCAAGAAAAGAGGTACTAACTTGGTGTCCCTGACAAATTTTAATCAGTACTGTTTCATTCAATCTATTAATTATCAATATTGTCCTCTACAGTTTATGTAATTAAATACAAATTACATAATAATTGAACATAAGTTGCCTCGCTTTACATTCTGAAGTCTTCAACAGTGCTGTCTGAGCAACTGTGGAATTAAAATACTTAGCAAAGTAGCACATAAATGAGCAGGCCAGAATGGAGAAAAACTGCCAAATGCTCAAGAAATGGTAACAACAACTACTAAACCACGCATCCCCCACCTAACCCTGGAGGAATAGTGAATGCACATTAATTTTCAAAGTGTTTTACACTATTCCAAAACCCTCAGTTTGATGATTTTCCAAAGGACATGCAGTGGACCAACGTAACAGGTGCATTAGACTAGTTTCACATAAATTAGCAACCACTCAGACAAATCACCAAAATCATCACAAGCAGAACTTTCCCAGAGAACTATTTACTAGTGCAGCAAGACATACCTAATAACATATTTGTTAACATACTAACTTTGAATGGTATGTCTAAAATGGGTTTGTATTTCTCTATTATTTCAAAAAGCAGTAAAATATTTAAGGCCACTTATTTCAACAGCAAAATAAAAACTCCACAATCAATTTTTGAAAACACACCAGCAATACCTTTTTGCATTTTTATTTTTTCCAAATACACTTTTAACAGCTTTCAAAATACAAAAACACATTAAGATATGAAACAATCAAAAGGAAACTACATACAACAATACAATTAGTCATCTGCATTTTCATCACTTTCCTTTCACTAAGCTAATGAAAAACTTGTATTTCCAGAGTACTAATTAATATCCCAGGAGTTCCAAAAAGGTCTATTTCAAAACACAAATGGAAATTTCAGTAGGCCTGTTTTTCAAAAAAGATCCTTTTTATGTGAGCATATTGTTTCTAATATACTGCAGATGTATTTTAAATACCTTTTTATTTAACTTTCTCATGTTAGATTTCTTACTGAAATTTAACCCATGGGGCATATATTTTAAAGGAAATAAAATGCTGTTAATATGTACAACAGAATTGAAGATATTCAATATTTTGAAGTGGCTACACTTACGCTAGGAAAAGTGCTTAGTTTCTTTAGCCACCATAGGACAGACACCAGGTGGAACATGGCATGCAGTTATGTGTGCCTTGAAATGCTGTTCCACACATTAAAGAAAGCATTAAAGTAGGGGGTTCTATTAATTTACCCTGTACTAGTGCCATTCATAGCATGCCAAATAGCAGATTTAATGCTTCAGTTAAAAAAATCCAAATGGCTAACTGAGCATCAGAGAACAGAATAATAATAAATTAAGCTGTATAAATATTGACTACTATTCATTACTGCATTCTATTATCAAATCTCATGTTTGACATGACTCAGCAAATACCTCAAGAACCTCATGGGAGAAGATTACCAGGTGATATACCCTATAAAGATTAACATGTAACACAGTACCAAAACAGTGGAAAATTAGTGCCCAAATTCAGGTAAATTTCAGAGTGGAACCACAATCATAACCCTGAATGCTAAACTCCATTGATCCAAGACAGAAAGTGGCAATTCCATCCTTGTCTTAGAACATGTATTAGTGTGTATCTCTATACCATTTTGCTATTTGAAAAAAAATATCAAAGACAATTTAACACTACGTATGCTGACCCACAGCACTGCAAGTCAGTAGCTGCTACAGTGTAGTCCTCTCCCACCCACAAATTCATTCCTGTTCCTTGTGCTGGCACAGGCAATTACAAAACCAGACAATAACCTTGTTCAGAAAAATGATCCAGATGAAAACTAACTCAGCAAAAGCAGGATGGATATGAAGCTAAACTAGAGTCCACAACAAAGCAATCCCAACCTAGATTGGCTGACACTACTGGAAAACCATATCCTGAGTTACAGTTGCCCGGGACTCTCTCATACCTTTTCATAAGACTTCAGAAAGACTTCTAAAAATCAGAAAGCAGAATGTATACTCATGCACCCTTCATTCTGCTCCTACAACAGTTGGTGTCAAAAGGCCCCAAATCCCTGATGTACAGTGAAGCTTGCATCAACAGTTTTGTGTTCATTTTAGAGCACATGGCCATGGGGTTTCTTGTTTTGGTTCTTGTTTTTTGTTTTAATTAGGAAGCAGAATAAATCAGGTCAGAAGTGGTGCAGATTGTCAGTTATGGAAGGATAAGTAAGAAAAGCATTAGATGACATCAAATCCCTAAAGGGGAAGGATTTGGGAAGCATGGTGTTTCTTCTGTTTAAGACCTGCACACAAAGAACATTTGAACAGCTGTTATACAACACAGTATTTACAGAAGCACACCATAACAACAATAAATTAGCATAATACAATTGCAATTGAGATTTGTGAACATAATGAGCAACTCCTAATTAGTACTTCTCTCCCCCATTCACACCAAGTTGTAAGAAGTTTCCACTCTTCCCTTTGAAATGTTTGCAGCACAAAAACTAACAGCATAGGTGACAAGCCACTTATGAGATGTGGAAAGATGCTGGCTTCTTCCTTAACACAAAATAAAATATACAGGGGAAGACTAATACTCATTTCAAACAACACTGTTTCACTAATTCTAGCTCACATTCCTTCTCCTCATCTTTTACATGGTGTTTTGTTTTTGATGGACATAGGAACACAAATGACAAACAACTACATCTTCACATCTTATGTCTTCTATTTCCATGTGTACTTAACACAGGCAGTAGTTTTCCTAAAGCTACTGTGATAAAAGCTCCTTTATTATGGTGGAGGATTGGAGATAGTGGTGATTAAAATGAATATCCATCTCAAATGGCTATCCACACTGAAGATGAGACAGTCCATACCCCTTCCTCCTTCCATCCACCAAATACATCAGTACACTGCTCTGTCCTGCTGACCTTTTGGGGTAAACATGACCATCTCCCTCTGATCAAAGACAGAGCAGAATCAGATTTTCACACAGTGACTCCACATTCAAAACACCACCTTTATCTCCTACCTCCTAAATAGGCACCAAATTTCAGACCAGTATCAACAATAAAAACGTTAATTTCCAAACATATATAGAAACCAGATCTTACTTCACAATGTAACATCCTCAATATACAGCTGATTCACTTATTTTTCCTCAGTTCACTGTACTGAAAATATCCACTTGATGAAAAGAACAAACTCAAAACTTTCAATTTCCACCATTTTGGGCTGTAATGTAAGTGAACTTATCTCTTAGCTCTTCCTCTTTCCCTTTTATAATTCTTTTAAATTTATATAAACATAGTTGTTAAAGAAAATATTACCATCAAAATAAAATGTATACATTTTAATTTTATGACTAATATACAAGACACACAAAAATATAAGATGTAAAATGTTTATACATATGTATCTTACAAATTATAATATACACACTTATTTATACATTTGTGCATATATATATAAACTTTTAAAATATACTTATATATATGTCATGGTTTCAGCTCAGAGGACAACTGAGCACCACGCAGCTACTCACACATCCCTTCTCTCCCAGTAATGAGAAGGGACAAATGAGCCAGACTTGGGATTCGAGATAGGACCGGGTGGGGTCAAATCACCCATTATGGTCACGGGCAAAAGGCAGACTTGTTAGCAAAAGAAAAAAATAACATACATTTATTACAGACACTAGCAACAGCACTTAACAGAGTAGGACAGTGAGAAGCATTGCCACGTCTTAAGAACACCTTCCCCCCCACCCCTCCCTTCTTCCCGGGCTCAGCTCTGTTCCCGATATCTCTACCTCCTCCCCCCAGTTGCACAGGGGCAGGGAATGGGGGGGGTGCAGTCAGCGCTGCTGCTTCCTTTATCTTCGGTGGGGGGAGCTTCTGGAACTTCTTCCACCTGCTCCAACGTGGTCCCCCTCACAGGAGACAGTCCTCCACAAACTTCTCTTCAACTGGATTCCCTCCCACAGGCTGCAGCCCTTCCCGAGCTGCTCCGGCGTGGGACTCCCCCGCATGCTGCAATCCTCCCAGCACTGAATTACAGCAGTGGGGCTGCCTTTTCCCACAAGACCCCGGCCTTCTTCGGGCACAGCACATTGATCACCCAGGCAAAAAACACAGGCCATAAATCAATGTCTGCTCCACCGTAGATCTCCTTGGGTGGCAGAGGGGGCCGCCCTGCCGTCTCACCACAGGATACAGGGGGGTCTCTGCTCCACCACACCTCCCCCCTCCTTTCTTCCTCCATTCCTCCACTGACCTTGGTGTTCACGCAGCTGCAGCAACTCCTCCTCACAAGTCCCACTGCTCCTCACCACGTCCCTTCTTAAATACGTTACTGCAGAGGCGCAGCTGATGGGCTCGGCCTTGGTGCAGAGGTGGAGCTGACTTGGAGCTGGAGGAGCTTCGAGAAGCTTCTCACAAGGGGCCGCCCCGATAGCCCCCTCCCCTGCCACCAAAAAAACCCACCACTCACTCAAACCCAGGACAATATACACATACATAAATATAAATAAAATGGGTTTGGGTCATTGTATTTTGTTGGTTGTGGTTTTTACTTTTTAAATGCCAGATACCTTAGGTAAGGGACATATTTGGGTGCAAACACATCCAATTCAAATTATTTAAGTATGCCTTGTAGCAATTATGCTTATGAAGACAGTTCTTTGCTAGCACTAGTGTTCTGAAACAGTGTCATACGTGCATCTGTGTCAGTATCCAAAGATTAATAATACTTTTGTATTTGCTGGTCCCCAAATAACAGGTCTTTAGTTTAATGGTATTTATAGAATCATGTATCAGCATGGCATAAACTGGCACAAACAATGGGCATGCTAATCAGGCATTTCTCTCTTTCAAACTACGCTAATACTTAAGAGAACCTTTACCTAAATAGGGAGTCTTGCTCAGAATGACTGAAAACCTTTACAAGAACAGACTATATCTGCTCTCCCCTGTAGAACAACATCTGATTAATCTCTGAATGCTGTTCCTGCAAGAGAAAGCTCTTATGTCCTACAGTATTTCTCAGCTATGACATTTATTTTTAACATTAACTTTTCAGGCTCCTGACTAATATTGCTCTAATAAAACTGTTCCCATGCAACTACTGCAGTGAAAATTCTAAAAGCAAAGAAAACAACTATTTCTCCCACCCACAAGTGGTAAGACATGGTTCCTAGCAGGATATCAGGGATTTTGAGTAAAAGCTCAGTATCATTTACTGCCGAGTGAAAGTCACATACATGTGGAGGGCACCGTCCATTCACAGAAATGGTTGCTGCCTGCAGAGGACCTTGTAGTGAAATGCCATGCAATCTTCCACAGCCCACTCCAGTCCTCAGTGGCATTTTGCTGCTCTCCTATAGATTTTATTTTGGGTAAAAAGCCCATAAGAATCTGTATGTCTGGCACCTGTCTGGCCACAGACTTACTACTTCTCAAAATCCAAAACTATCAGGAGCTTACAGTCACAGAGAAGTACTCCATCTTTCTAGTTAGAGACTTGGGAGATTTCATTATTTTGAAGTAGGACCAATAAGATTACCTACAAACACTGTTATTATAGGATGACAGACAGCTGAAAGCTGATTTCTGCACTGGATTTCATAGTGTGCTTGCACAACTGACTAAACCCAGAAGTCACCTTCGGGGTGGATTTCTTCACTGTTTTAGAAGTGTGATTCCTAAGTGCACTAGATTGCATAATGTATCATCTACCCCTGGTTCTCCAGGACAGACTGGTCCTGACAGATCACATCAAGATGGCTGAGCAATAGTGGTATTCTTCACTAATATCTACTACACAGAGCCAGCTCTGCTCTGGCAGCATCCCCAAACATAATTCACAGAGAAACTCCAAGTATCATTACTTGAGTGGCTGACATAAAGGTAGCCTGAGCTCTATCACCTGAGCTGGCCTACTTCTAGTGACTGTACCTGAGCAACCTAGTACTTTTTTCTGGTGTGGTAAAGACTAGACACCACAGCATGAATCAAACTAGAACAAATCAGAAAGCAAGTCAGCAGTTTCCTTGCTAAACAGCTGGCACGTTACTACACGCAGCTCAACATACACACAGAAGCCTAGCTGCGTGGAATCCCATATTGTATGAAACAGACTGTACTGCTTCAGACTGAGATGGTGTTAATTTTCTTCTTAGCAGCTCAGGTAGTGCTGTGTTTTAGATCTGTGACCAAAACAATGCTGATAACACTAATGTTGTAGGTGCTGCTGCACAGTGTTTGCACAGTGTCAAGGCCTTCTGTTTCTTATTCTGCCCCCACAGTGAATACTCTGGGTGGTGCATGAGAGGTTGGGAGGGGACACAAGGAGGCAGATGACTCAAACCAAGCAGATATTCCATACCATATAATGACACGCTCAGCAATAAAAGAGAAAAGAGGGAGTTTAGGAAAGTTAGCCAACTTTGCTTGTGAACTGGATGGGTATTGGTGCACCCATGGGTGATGGTGAGCAATTGCCTTCACATCACTTGTCTTGTTTCTCTCTTCTTCCACTCCTCCTTTGCTTATTATACAACTTTATCTTCCCTCACAAGTTTTCTTGCTTTTGCTCTTCCTCTCCTCTTCCCCTGTCCCACGGGGGGAGAAAGTGAGCAAGCAGCTGTGCGGTGTTTAGCTGCCTGATGGGCTAAACCCACAACACAGACCAGTGTCAACTCTCTGTGGATTTTTAGTGAAGATTAAGGTGGGGTGGTTTCCTCCACACAGCTATTCCCCTACATAAAATAAATAAGCTCTTTTCACAGCAATTACCTACATTATAGGAAAAGAGATTAAACCACTCCATGCCTCTGATCTATCAGTCTGCTTAAGTTCTCCAGCTGTAGAAGGCTTACTGACACTTTCACTTCACTGTTGTATTTATGCCTACTTTCAATAAACTACCTGTAGACAAGACTTTCCTTTCCAAATACAGTTATTCCTATGGAAAACACTGCTTCCATCTTCAAAGGTCCATGGCAAAGCCTCTTAGACTAACTTAAATCTCCTTCATTGTCAGACAACCCAAACATACCATCAGATGAAAGAGCATTCCCCTGTACCATTCTTTTTGCCAACAAGATACATGTAACAGAAAGCTAGAGGTGTTGATGTCTTTAACATCTCAAGTTAAACCCTTTGTGTAAGACAGCTCTTAGCACTGTGCAAACTTTTTTCTCTGTGCCTTGCAACTTGGAATCAATGTATCCAGTATCTATACAATGCAATTCTTGATTATTTTGGATTTTTGCTAGTATACACATTCCTTTCCACCCCTCAAGCTCAGTAAAGTTTGTATAAATCTCATCAGAAGTATCACAGCAATAACTTATTTGCATGTTTCTATTCTTCAGAAAGCCTGCCCCTGTTGTCCTGCCAGTAAACTTTATTACTGTCATCCTGCAAAAGTAGGATTGTTATTAAGCATGAGCCATTTCCAAATGTTTTTTCCCCTTTCTGACCTCCTTCTAAACCCCTACTTCCACTGAGCTGCAGCAGACCAGCTACACATGCAAACTCCCAATTGCTCATTGCCCCCCGTTAAGATGATACAGAACAATTCTCCTCCCCACACACCACTGTTCTAGATTTGTCTGAGCACTTTCTTAAACACCTCAGCTTCAGCAAAACGGTCTGTCAGTGAATGAAGGAGATGACCTGCAACTGGATGGTAGCATTCAAGATGCACATAGAAATATCTAAGTGTAACCCTTCCTCTGTAAGGCAGAGATAGGTTTCAGCTTCCTCAGGTCACTAATTATACAAGAGTAGCAAAGAGCCTATTCCCAGCACCTACTGCAGAGAATGAGTCTTCCAAAAGAAAAAAAAAGTTGTCCTCCAAAATACCACAGTTCAGAACCATCTGATACAGGAAAACTCTCATGTTCTATCAAATGGAACTATCATAGTTTCTGAACTGACAATAAGGGTCTGCTTTAAAGCTGCAGCATGTCTTCCTGGATGATCTGAGCATTCAGCACTTCACCACACTGGACTTCCCTTTGTGCTTACTCCTCCTCTGTATTCCTATCAAAGGCAGCAAACTTCAGAAATAATTCCAGGATCAGTTCAAACCCTTCCAAGCACAAAACTGAATTGGCCTTTCTTGATTCCTGCTCAGCTCACTTCTTGCCTTCAATATTAAATGCCTCCGACAAAGATATATTAAAAGTGTTCCCTAGAATACTCTAAGCTTGTTTAGTAAGTACTGCTTGGAAGAGGACACTGCCTGCAGATTTGCTCATATTTACAGCCTTCTGCTTATATTCCCTGCATCCTGTACAGTGCATTCACTGATGCATTACATTGAGCCCACATGCTTAACATGTATCGTTAGTGAGAATAAGATCAAAAAGTTTGCAAGTACGCGATACAGATGGGAATGACAAGGTAAAATATCCGTAAATCTGTTTCACTAACATTCCTCAGTACCACAAAGAAATTCCAGCGTTTTAGCCCATTTATAAAGGATACCATTCCTCCGAAGCTCTAGCAAACAAAGCCTGTTTGTTATATGGGACTTCAGACCATTCAGATCAACCCTCAACATATACAAGCTGGTTGTCACATTGCAATACATCACTACAGTTTATTTTTGACCGAGAAAAATTAGTGCGTCCTTGTTCACCTCACAATTTTCACATTCAAAGACTGCATCCAATCATCCTTTGAATATACTGAATGGCATCCTCTGACATTATGCAGCGAGCTGAATTACAGACCATATCTCAGACAAACTAGTCAGGGACACCTCCAGAACGAACTCTACTCGTTCCTGACAGTCTCCAGTCAGAAGTCAGGAAGAAACTCTGCTGCCTTCACAAAAAATTACAGCTTTTTTTTTTTTTTTTTTTGAGACAACTACATCTCAAAAGAAGAAAGCTGCTGCTAAACTACAAAGTTTTCTGGAATCCTCTTTGCACTGTAAACTCTCAAAGTTATTACCTACAGATACCACATGTAAAGATTGATCATTTTCCTACTCTCTACACTCTTACAGTTCACTTTGTTTGGCAGGGTTTTATTAGTATGGCTTCCATTTTTAAAACAAAGCCATTCATTGAGTAGAGCTAATGCCAGCTTTTCATAGCTTAGCAGTCATGGTCACATCTTTTATATTTCTCAGACTCTCAAACACAGTACTACTTTAAAAGCACGAACTGAAGCATTTAAACAATAATCAGCTTCTTAGTCTAAAGTAAGCTTACCCTTCAAAATCCTACGAAAAACCAGCACAATTTGCAACGCAGCAGTCATTCAACAGCTAAGTATATCAATAGCTACAACTTGTTTCTCTAAAGAAAAACATTTTTCCACTATACCTTAGGCGTTAGATCAGATCGCTCTTGAAGCTTATATGTCTTGGAGAAAAGAAGTCTGATTATCCATAGAATCAGAATTCCTTCCAAAATGAGATGGTAAGCAGGAGCCTGAAGATAAAAGCACAAAAATTAGCCTAACAGTATTCTATTTGAATCAGTGTGACACTGTGCAACAGTTTTGTCTCTATTAGTACACTCAGAAAAAAAAAAATGCCGATCATCAGTTGATATCTATTTCTAAACCAGTGAAAATTATAATTGTATCAAAGTGGATTGCTTTGCAACTATTCCTTGCGGCTGCTAGCTTCAGTTTGAATTCATTTATTCTGTTGTTAATAAAGAAGGAACACTCAAAATTGCTAAGCAGTTTTAGTACCACACATGCACATAAATTCAATATTGAGAATAAAGGCAGGTAAGCTGTATGGGTCGCACCTGTGTCTGTGAAGGCAGAAAGCTTTCACAATAGGCAGAATCCTCTTGAGAGCTTGGTGTGAGTCTTCTATACATGCCCACTTCAACCCTACATTCCTACAATTTAACAGTCCACCAGCAGAGACAGCTACTATTATTTATAAAGAAACCTAATCCTCTCCTCATAGCCTATTTTTGTTAGTTTCACAGGCGCTCTGAGCAGGTATAACCCAACACAGTCACCAGAAGCAGTTTTGCTCCTGTGTCATTTGCTGTCTTGTGTGGACACACTATTTAGGAAGAAATAAACCAAACCAGAACAAAGAGTTCTGAAAGTTTGATCCAAGTTAAAGTTAGCCTCTTTGGATGCTTGGAGAGAGAAAAGTCAGTCTCCTGTGGCAGCACAGCTAGTTTAAAGTAGATGTGGCGTTATGGCATCAGCATCTGACACCTAGTTTTAATGATGGGTTTAGTTATTCCATTTCAGAAAGGCTCGTGTCCACTGTGGATGTCCGCTATTTTTAAAGACTCAGAGTGCACACACACTAGTGTACTCCCTCTTCAATTCAGTGGAAGAGCTCAATGTTTTCTGTCAGGATCTGACCTGCCAACAAAGGAAGTAGAGCCTCCAGAAACTGAAGGAAACTGAGCCCAAGTTTTTAAAAGCATTAAGGAGTCCTATGGCACTTTAACCTGCAAATAAAGAATTGATCATTTGCAGAGTACTTTTCAGTTCACCAAATATAAGAATACATATGTACACCATGACATCTAAAGAACAGATATTACAGTAGCAGTAGAGGTCCACACAAACTACCTCCCCATGATTTTCAGTGCCTATAATTATCCTCAATTCAGTGTATCAGACTGTGCTACCAGCTTCAGCAGCCAAGCACTTCTATATTTGTATGGCAAAATCTAGTATAAATTGTTAAAAAGCTAACAACCTCTGCCAGAGAAAGGGAGGGATACAGACTGTTAATACAAGAACACTGCCTATCATCAGGACATCCTTTTTAATATCATGAAACAAAGACTGGATACAAACATGACGTGCTGACCCCCTCCAGGAAAGAACTCTAGCATATACATTTAAAAGCTTTTTCTTCCTTGGTAAACAACCCTTTTAAGTTGCAAATCCTGATTTCATACGCAAAGAATCTTATCAAGGTTTTAACGCTCTGGATCGCACCTTAAACATAGCTTTATAAACCTAAATAGAGAAAAAAACGTCACCGCATGCATCTCTTCTTCTACTGTATATATACGGTGCGCGTACAAACACCCAGGGTTCCGGGAGTGGACAGGCAGCTCCCGGTTCGGAGGCGGCACGACACGGCACCGCCCGGCGGGCCGCCGCCCCATTCCCGCCGCCGCCCAGCGAGGCTCACCGGTGACCCGCCCCGGGCAGGCCCAGCTCTGCGTTCCCGCTCCCCGCGCCGAAATCAGCGGCCCAGGGACAGGGCGCCCTCACACCCGCCACCCGAACTCCCACAGCCACGGGGCGCCGGGGTGCGTGCTCGCTCGCCCGCCCGCCCGCCCGCCCGCCCCAAACCTCCCCAACCCCGGCGGCGGGTGCTGGGTGCCAAGCGCCCGGCCCTCCCCAAACCGCCCCGCGCCGGCCCTCGGACAGCGCCCCGGGCGCGCACCGCCGAGAACGCACCTCGTAGAAAGCCTGCACCATCTCCACCAGCACCCACTGCTGCCCCATGCCCGCCGCCATGGCCGCGCCCGGCCGCTTCCGCCTCTGCCGCCCGCCCGCGCGTCGCCGCCGCCGCACGCCGGCGTCCAGGGCGGAGGGGCGGGCCCCGGGCGGTGAGACAGCGCCCCCCTCCGGCCCGGAGGTCGCAGGTGCTCCCCGTCGCCGTCACAGGCGGATGGTGCGTTCTCTGGCGGCCCTGAGCCGGCAGCCAGGCCCCATCGGGAGCATGCGCCCTGCGGTCTTAAATAAATTGAATTAGCTCCAAGTTGAGCTAGCGTTGGGAGATAAATTTGGATGCACTGGTGTGTACTTCCTCACTGCGTTTCAAACCCCGTCCTGTTTGTTGGGCGTGCCGGTGTAACCTTGGTGTTGCCCTCTCGGTGCCCGTGAGCTCCGGCAGCCCCTCGCTGTCCTCGGCTGGCACTGGCCGAGGGGCTGTGGCACCTCATCAGCACACCTTGCGCTTGCTGCCTCCGCACCTGTAACTGCTGACTTCGCCGCTGTAAGAAGCAGTTGTTCAGCAGTTGTATCCAAGCAGTTGTGCTTGGATAATGAACTGAACAGCAAAAGCAAAGCCAGAGTATAGTAGAAATAACGAGTACATTAAATTAAGAAGAGATATGACAGCTTCTAGAGCCCTTCCAAAGTGAGCAGCCATAAAAGCTGAGCGTTGTTGTGGGGACATAAACCCCATGAAGAAAGAGTTATGGTGAAGACCTTTGTCCTGGGTTGAGTGAGTGGTGGGGGTTTTTTTGGTAGCAGGGGAGGGGGCTATCGGGGCGGCCCCTTGTGAGAAGCTTCTCGAAGCTCCTCCAGCTCCAAGTCAGCTCCACCTCTGCACCAAGGCCGAGCCCATCAGCTGCACCTCTGTGATAACGTATTTAAGAAGGGACGTGGTGATGAGCGGTGGGACTTGTGAGGAGGAGTTGCTGCAGCTGCATGAACACCAAGGTCACTGGAGGAACGGAGGAAGAAAGGAGGGGGGAGGTGTGCCGGAGAAGAGACCCCCCTGTATCCTGTGGTGAGACGGCAGGGCGGCCCCCCCTGCCACCCATGGAGATCTACGGTGGAGCAGACACTGATTTATGGCCTGTGTTTTTTGCCTGGGTGATCAATGTGCTGTGCCCAAAGAAGGCCAGGGTCTTGTGGCAAAAGGCAGCCCCACTGCTGTAATTCAGTGCTGGGAGGATTGCAGCATGCGGGGGAGTCCCACGCCGGAGCAGCTCGGGAAGGGCTGCAGCCGTGGGAGGGAATCCAGTTGGAGAAAGTTGGTGACCCATGATGGAGCAGTGTGGGGAATGCTGCAGCCCTTGGGAGGGACTCATGTTGGAGCAAGTTTGTGGAGGACTGTTTCCTGTGAGAGGGGGACCACGATGGAGCAGGGGGAACAAGTTCCAGAAACTCCCCCCACTGAAGATAAAGAAGCAGCAGCACTGACTGCATCCCCCATTCCCTGCCCCTGCGCCGCTGGGGGGAGGAGGTAGAGAAATTGGGAACAGATCTGAGCCTGGGAAGACAGGAGGGGTGGGGGGAAGGTGTTCTCAAGGTGTGGCAATGCTTCTCACTGTCCTACTCTGTTCAGTGTTGTTAGTGTCTGTAATAAATGTATGTTCTTTTTTTCTTTCACTAACGAGTCTGCCTCTTGCTCGTGATCATAAAGGGTGACTTTTTTCTCCATCCCAGTCCTATCTTGAACCCCAAGCCTGGCTCTCTGTCTCTGTGCTGGAAGAGAAGGGAGAGAGAGTGGCTGCATTGGTGGTTGGCTGCTGACCAGGCTCAAACCATGACAACCTTGCAGGGATGCACCTGAGTGTGGGGAGGTGACCGAGTCCTCATGCACGCCTGCGCAGGACTTGGGTGGCTGCCTGAAAGGCAGTGGAGAGAAGGGAGAGCTGGAAAGAAGTCTGCTTAGGAAATGAGGTGGTGCTTGATGGAAAGGGAACAAAGGACTTGGCTGCTGAAGGAGATGTTTGGGAGCTGCTTCTCTGAAGCTAAACTGTGGAGGGATTCTGATGGTATTCTGGGAGAGCACCATGGAAGTGCACCTCTTGAGGCTTCACGCACTAGTCTTCGCCATGGTTAGAGGAGAGGAAACTGAGGCAGCGGTTGATTAAGCAGATGATAGTGATAGGATAAATGATAGGACTTGGCTGCTGTGGCTAACTACAAGCAAACGGTAAGTTATAGTTTTACAGTAGATGATGGTTAAAATTGGTGAACTTCACTTTCATGCTGACTGAAACATGCAATAGTTAATCTGCTTCCTGAGTTTCTGAACTTAATAATACGCTTGTCAAATTCCAGGCTGTACACGGTAAAGAGAAAAAATGTGGTTTGAGGCTATCTGAAAACTCAAGACAAAGACAATAAATGCCCCTTTTATTTTTTTGGCTGGAGGAAGATTATTCCGTTCACTGTTAAGTACTTCTGTGGACATTGCATCGTGCTGGAGAGGAGTCTTAGGCTCTTGGGAGATGGCTGCCACTACCAGCCTCAAAGAATGTTTCTGGTATGCATCCCAGTCCCAGATTGCCCCCAGAAGAGTGGGCCACATTAGTTGCCTTGGTGGGCTGCAGATTAAGTTACAGTCCTGCTCTCAACTTCAGATTCTGACTTTCAAAGTTTGACATATATGTGTATGATTGGGAGATGAAGAAACTGATTTTGTGAAACACTGGGTGAATTGTTTCCAGCTTGAAATGTGGTGAATTTAATAATGTACTAGCCAGTAATTCTCCTGGCAACGAATCCAGAGTTCCTGGTCTGGATTATCATAGGGCTGGGTCTCTCATTATTATGAGCCTATCCCTATTGTTCAGCAGTTTCATTGTTCCAACACAAGGCAACTGCTGCTAATTGCTTAAGGCTGCTATAATTCTGACAGAAAAAAAAAGAGGGGGGAGGTGAAGGGAGAAGTTGTTTGCAATGACAGTTGGGAAGAAAAGTTACAATGACAGGCTGGGAAGAAAAGGGAGAGGAAAAACCTCTTGAGTCTATCTCTGAACTTAGAGTCCTGATAAAAGCTACTGAGATAGTGCCCTATGGAAATTCCTGCTCTGGAAGTGTCAAATTTTGTCTTCCCCCCCCATATCCTCCAGTTGCACAGTATTCCTGATTTGCTTATTCTGGACCTTCCTCACTCGTTTCCCACACCCTACTTTGAATTCCCAGTTCAATTCCCCTGGGTCAGTGCTGGCACATCAGTTGTTCTCTGGTCACTCCAGAAGCATGAAAATGGGAACTGATATGGCTATTAGGAATTTTATTTTTCCTGAATATCACAGAGGTAGCCACTGCCAGTTATCTTCAGTCCTCTTTGCTCTATTACCTCTTCCTCTGGCTTCTCCATTCTTACTCTGCCAAGTACAAGGCAGATAGTAGGAGCTGCAAGTAGAAGTGAGGGAATGATGCCCACCCCCTTTCTGCACTCTTGGGTTTCACCCCCAGCTCGTTTCAACCTGGTACTTTATGAACTAGGAAGGGGGGAGATTGGCAGTAGGAAGAGATGCAGAACTGTGAAGGGATGGCTGTGATTGATGCCATCCTACTGTGTTGGATCTTATATCCAGTGCTGTGTTGCAGATAAACACATGAAGGAGAAGGTGGGAAGGTCAATTTTGGAACTGGTGGGAATAGGTCCTGAGAGTCATTCATTTCTCCCCTGCCTCCTCCAACTACATATGCAGAAGGGGGACGATGGCCGAGGAGATTAGGGACATGAGGGAGTGTTTGTAACCATTCTCATACATTCTAGGTGGTGAAAGCTTAGCTTATATTATTGTGTTTTAATGTGCCTAGCTGTAACTTGTTGGTTCTGTGGCTACCCTCAAAAAAGAATAATAATATTAAAACACAAACAAACAAACAAACAAAAAACCCCAACAAACGGTTGGGAAAGCAATCCTGTACTGGTAAGGAGAATAGCAGGATAGTACTAGTTAGTATTTTTTTTTTAGTTTTTGTTGTCTTGAAACCTGATGCTCATCCAAGATGATGCTGGCAGCAGGCACAGAAGATGTCCAAAGTCAGTTGGAAGCTTAGTATTAAACCCCAAAATTGTGTCCCAACTCCTAGTGGGAAGCAGAAAGATGTTGCAAGAGTATTGCGCCGGTGCCAAGGAGAACTTGAATATCAAGTTCTGTAATTTACCTGATGTGCGGAGGAGTAATTGTTCACAAGGCAAGCAGAGCAGAGGACGAATTTAGTGTTATCTCAAGCCATGCACCAATCTATCTTGGAAATGTGCTTAATCCTAGTGCTATAGTGAATTAGCTCTGGGTTAACTTCACCAGCAGAAACCTGACTTAAACCTGCCTGGGTAACATCTGGATATCACCACCTTTTACACAAGCTTTGTGCAGGAGTAAGGGTACCTACTGGTCAGAACACTGGTGTATTCTAGCCATCTCAGACTGTACCATGGCACCCTGAACAACTGTAGTGACAAAGTGGCATAAAGTGGAAGTGCTGTGATGTTTTTCTGGGATGCAATGGGGACCAAATTTGACCTCAACTGTTTGGAGTTAATGGCTATTGTAACTGTGTAAGCATGGCCAGACTCCTCTTTTTTGAAGCATATTCCGCCAAAGGTGGACCTTTGGAACAAAAAGCTAATTTATCACAGAGATGGATGTAGGCACAGCAGACTGTCTCCTGCTTATGCTTCTTTTCAGTGCCTGTTCCCCCAGTGGACATGGCAGCAGTGGGCTAAGCACCAGTTTCCAATACATGGCAGAACTAAGTGTCTTAAAATGGAATTGACGACAGATAGGCCCAGTTCTGTGACAACTAAAGAAAACTTGTATTAGAAACTTGTGTGCAACCAGGCTGCTGGGACTGTTAGCAGAACAGACACTGTTTTAATGGGAAAGTTTGCCTTTCAGAGATCCAGTTACCCATTTGCAGTGTTGCTATATTGCTCTTGCAGAGCTAGATTTTGTATCCTGTGTGATATGTATCCGTATCCATATCCATATCTCTGATTCAAGACTTCGGACATACTCAGGTTGGGAATTTGCAGCCCAGAACTTTCTGCTAGGCTGGTTGCCCCTGCTGCAGAAGGAGATGGGTGGTTCACCTGTTTCTCACCCC